GACAAAATCTCTTATTAGGAGGTATAGGGGCTCCCATATATGTTTAAATATATCAATTTCAGGTGCATATGACGATATTCTAGTTAGCTAGTATATTTATAGCCTTTTCCTCTCCATATATGCATCTAAAACACCCAAAAATCACTAAAAGTGCAAAATGAGAAAAACAAAGGGAGATGTGACAAATTACAGTTTTTCTTTGATCGATCCATGCATGGCTGCTGCTAGGTTAAGAACAATCGATCGAGTTTATTATTTGTACATATCGTAATTTTTTTAGCATTAATCTTTTAGCATTAATGAATTATATAGTTCATTTTTAGTTTAGGATCGACAGTATACACGCAACATGAAAAAGGAAGATATAACCATGAATTCATGCATATATAGTAACTTAAATATAAGAGGTTAATCAAATCCCGACCATTAATTTTATGCTAACATAAATTTATAAAATCTCTAACAAGTTTACGATATATGTTAATATTTTCTATGCAAACTATGTATACCATTTCTTTTGGTTTTAAATAAAGCATTCGAGTAATTATCGATGGTCGGGGCTTCTGTGACTGAGAGGGAGTAAAGTAGCTTAGATATTTTAGCGAGTGAATATATACTCCGTAAATTACCTCTGTCCCATAAAAAGTAAACCTAATTAATATGTAATGTGACACGTTCTACTACTATGTATGAATCTATGTAGACTAGAAGTATATACTGCTATATGTAGCTACTCCAGCTCCAAGTGGCCTGCCTGCAGAAGGCAGTGTACTTTGAGCAGGAGGAGGCTTTCCTGAATTTGTTCAGGGAAAGGAACAGGAGCAGCAGCGAGCCAAGCTAGTCCCAAGGCAATGTAGTACAGTACTATACTACTGCTTGTTGTGCAGTGCAGCAGAGAGATATATCGATCGATCGATCGATGACTCAAGCAACCAATTAACTCTCTCTCTCTCTCTCTCTCTCTCTCTCTCTCTCTCTCTCTCTCTCTCTCTCATGTATGAGTGAGAATTCAAAGCTGCATCTGCAATTCTGCATGGATGAGTGGAGAATGGGTAGCAGGAGTGGAAGAGAGAGAGAGCTGTAAACTGTAAAGATGAGCTTGCAGCAAGTGAAGAAACAGATACTACTAGTAGAGATTAATTGACTACTGGTACTGTCTGTAAAGAGAGAGTATAGTGTACTCGATCCTACTACTTAATTAGTATTACAGTACTCATACACACTCCTCTTGCAGTTGAGAAAGGAAAAGGCTGTGGCGTTTTCGAGCTGAGAAAGATCAATATATGGATCCAGGATTGCATCTGCATTCTGAAGCAGAGCAGGCAAAATAAGGTGAAGGAAGAGCTAGCAGTAGCAGCAGGGCACTGAATCGAATGCATCAGAATGCACAGCCTCCAAAGGAAACAACCAAAGGAAACAAAAGCGTGCGCTTTCTTTTCTTTCTTTCTTTCTTTGCATCTGCCCTGACCTGCACATCTCAGCATTTGCATGCATGCAATGCTATGCTAATCGATCCATCCATCGCTTTTCTTTTCTTTTTTTCTCGTCAGCTGCATGCACAGAGAGGCGCAGGGATTCAGTTCAGTGACCACCATTCAATTCTCCCAGTACTCTTGCATTGCAGGTCATTAATTCTGTCAAGAAATTGGGTAGTACTAGAACAACACTTTACTCCAGTTTAGTCTAATTAGTAATTAGAGCATGTACGCAGGAGTAACAAAACTACTACTACATGCAACAACAGAAATACAGGGCATGTTCACTTTAATGCAAAAAAAAAAACCTTACCAAATTTTGGTATTACAAAATTTTGACATAGTTGCCAAAATTTTGGCATGATTTCTTATATAGTTACCAAAATTTAGTAGCAAACTAAATATAACCATTTTTTTAACAACTTTAACAAAATTTGATAAAATTAAAAATAGCATCAAAATGAATAGGCCCGCAGTGTCCAGGGCACATGCTTCACGAGTTCAGGAGAGCATCACCATTCAGCATATGAAGCACAGTGAAACTGAAATGTCGAGCAGGACTAGGAAGTAGTAGCTATGTAGCCATGGCTAGGAGGTCAGAGAAAGAGAGAGGTTGAAGAAAGGTCGCAAACATTGCAGAGAAAACCAAAGGGGATATTGAGTTTCCCAAGGTTGAAGACCTAGTAGCTACAGTAGTGTGAGCGATGATGCAGTGAGATGGTGACGAGCCAGCCGGGGCCCTGAATCTCTCATCAAACTCAGACTCAGAGTGGACAAGTTGGTTAAGCAAGCAAATGCTTCTTCTTCTTGTTGCTGCTGCTGCTGCTGCCTGGAGGCTGGAGCTGGACGACTGCCTAACAACGAACTGCTTTTTGGACCCAAGAATCTATACACACTTTGAAACTGCAGGCCTACCATCTATCTACTACTCTGAAAATCTATCCTATGCTGCCTAGCTAGAGCATAGTACCATATCATTATGGCTTCTTTCTGCAGTCTGTGTGGGGGCAGCCAGCTTATCTAGGTTGTGTTTAGTTCACACTAAAATTGAAATTTTGGTTGAAATTGGAACGATGTGATGAAAAAGTTGAAAGTTTATGTGTGTAGAAAAGTTTTGATGTGATGAAAAAATTAAAAGTTTAAAGAATTATTTTGGAACTGAACACGGCCCTAGAGTTCCTCCTCCTATCCTATTCATTCTCATGTCATTGACTGCTCAAGAGCTAATCTCATGAGAGTTCAGAGTCTTCAGTGACATCCCAATGTCCATAATTCCATAGAGTGCACTACTGAAGTCAGGGTTTCCTTACCGTCTGAGGTCTGGGTTACTGCACCGGCGTAAAACGCGATTACCGTGGTTATCATGAGAAAATGTAAAAAAGTTATCAAAAATTTAGATTTTTTTAAAAATATTGATGGGGTTATAATGGTTTTGTCGTTACCATACCTCGGCAATAAGCCTTCGTTATGCTGATTATAAGTTGTAATGACTTATTAGCAACTAAAAGATAATTTGCTAGTAAAACGTTTATATACGTTCTTCGCGATGTAAAAGCAAATGCTAAACTACGATGAAAAAATCCTCAAATTAACTCCAAAATTAAGTTTCAGAATTAAAATTTTGGTTGCAGCTTATAATCTGAATGATAAACCTGGCTTCAATTATGCGCCGAGGATTGGACATGCTCGCTCTGTCCACAAATATAAACTACATCTCTAGCCTTTGATTTTTTTTCTTCACAAATATAAGTATTTTGAGAGTATTATGAGTACTTTAGAGCTGTGTGTGTGATCTTCTTTTCTCATGTCATGACTGCTAAGAGCTGATGGATGAAAACCTATCTCAACGACTCATCAGAGTTCAGACAACCCAATGTCCACAATTCCTTAGTGTAAACTACCGAAGGACTGAAGGTACAACAACAGCAGAAACATGTCAATTATGCGCCGAGGATTGGACATATCAAGCTAGCTAGGTGTGTAGCTCCATCCTCCGTTCTTCAGACTTCACAACACTCTCTCTAGGTATTGAAGTACTCCTACTTTTTTTTGAGAAAATTTTGTAAATATTTAAAAAGATTTCGTATTACCGAAGTGTGTTGCATCCTAAACATAGTTTAGCCTTTTCAAGATTTTACTGGTTAAGAAAGCAGTGACAAGTAAATGTAAATGGAGGTAATAGTAAGAGTTTCTTTTACCGTCCAATGATACCTCACGGTACCAAATCCTGGCCGTTGGATCTGGCCCGATCCAACGGCTGGTAGAGTTTGGTACCGCAAGGTACCAATTCTGTCCCTGATGCGGTACATCTCGTGGAGAATAGAGGTGGAAGGGTAAAAATGTAATTTCGCATGGGAGAAATAGACGGGCGGATAGGGTTGATAGGGTTCCCACCAACGCTGCCCCCGCCTGGAGTGCGTCAACCTCGTCCACACTGTGCCGTGAAGAACTCTTCCTCTTCCGCCCCTCACCGTCGGGAAGGACTCATCCTCCTCGGCCCCTCGGCCCCGGGAAAGAATCATCTTTCTCCGCCCGTCGGCGCCGGGAAGGACTCCTCCTCGTCGGCCCCTCGTCGCCGGGAAGGAATCGTCCTTCTCCGCCCGTCGGCGCTGGGAACGACGACTTCAACTCCGCCGTCCCTGCTCACACACCGTCGGTGCCGAGATTGAGTGCACCCCTGCTCATTTTCTCTCCCGATCCTACGCATCCTGGATTCAACGGTCGGATGAGTTTTGGTACCGACCGGTACCAGTACCGAGCCGTACAACTTGCTAGACGATAAACATGCTCTAATAGTAATATTGTTTTAACATGACAAATCTTAATATTTTTCTGTATATTAGCAGCAAAAACTGTAAAGGTTGGGCTGTACACATCAAAAAATGATGAATATAGACATTAGACTACTGCCTAACTGCTCAAGCAATTTAGCTGCTTGATGCCCAACAACTGGCCTGAAATTAACAACATCAGAAGAGAGGAGGATGCATGGGCCTTCACCAACAACCATCACAGCCCATTTCTCAAGCAGAACTATTTTATTTGGGCCTGAAAAGTTATTGGACCAACTAATTTCTTGGCTCTGATAGCTGATCTTATTTTTCTAGTATGATATTGTATATGGTCAGGTTTGTATCCTAGGAAAGTATACATGATATGAATCCCTTCTTCTTAAGCCTTCCTTCTCTTGCAAGTGCAAATAATTTACTCTTCTTTAATCAGTAGTAAACTTCAGCTTGTATTCCCTACTTTAATTTAAGAGTGACATGCCCTTTTGACTTTTATATACAGATGATGATGCTGGTTTTCGTCATCAAGGCAAACTGACAAAGATAGAGCAAACCAGGTTCAACCTCAACTTGTTATTTTGGTTTTTCCCCTTTTTTTTTAGTTGATCATCATCCATTCTGGTGGTTAGGAGCAGCATGAACTCATGCTTTCTTCAGTTTGTATCTATCTGTGTGACCAGAAATAGCAGGAGATAAGATACAATATGCAAGAAAGATTCTTCCATTGGTGCAGTGGTTGCAGGAGTTGCCAAGCTTAGCATGCATGCCACATTTCTATTTTATTCTCTGAGCAAATTATGGACAAGAAAAGGTTACACTCTTAATATACAATAACAAATTGGAGAAACAGAGGAAAGAACAGGAACAGTGATCAGATTGAGTAGATTCTTTCAGAACCACCTTTCTCTGAAAAGTGAAAAAATATCCACTAAAGCTACCAGGGCGATCGAGCACGCACAACACTTTTGTTCTACATTACATTTGCCACTTCAATCTACAGATTATTTTGCAAAAAGGCAAGGCTAACTAATGTGGTTATATACACTAATCATGATCAAGTAATGGTAGGCTATGATCGTCCTTCTGTTCTATGTGGATTTCAGCTTGTCCAAATTATGCTTTACCTGCAAAACAATTTGACAGATATGAGCAAATTATACATGAACTAAATTTCCTTGAAACTCAAATATTTACTGAAAGGTGTGCTATCATAGGAGCTCTGACCAAAACTGCATTGGCCTCTTCTATGAGGGGCTGGACAATGGAGAGCAAGACCTTCACATCTTTTGCGAAAACCTCAAATTCCTGACAGTTCCCCATCAGCAATGCTATGAAGATCTCCTTTTCCGGAATGAGCTTCTGTGCCACCTGACATTAATGCTCAGGAAATTAATGAACAAGAACTAATTTGTAGTTTTTTTACAAGAATAATGACTATTGATCAATAGTACTTTGGTGAACAGACAGACAATTGCAGAGAAAGAGCTCTGCAACTGTGATGACAAATGCTACTAGCCTACTACTGTACTTGGTGAGCAATCACTTTTCAGAAAAATTCTTCTTGTAAATTGTTCTATACCCTGTAAGCAGCTGATGAGATCCAACCATGCCATGGCTTCAATGTAGTAATATACGCCTTTTCGACGATCTCTCTGAGGCTCGACTGATCACAGGTGTTAAGCAACCCCTCCAGTAAATGTTTTGAGAAATTTATCGACCTAATTGGAAGAATCCGCAACACGGCACTATAAATATTTGCAACAGAATTGATGTTATAGACATGAATATGTGTCAGATGAGCAAAATTCAGTTCACCTAGCCAACCAAAGAATAGCTCTGGTGCAGCTATTGGCCTTCTTTGAGGTCCCTTCCTCCACTTCCTCTGTCACTATTGCTGTCAGGCTTGAATATTTGGAAGGGTCCCTTGCAAGCACATCCTGTAATCTCTGCAATTAGCTCACACAAATCCAGAAATTAGCATCGCTGATTAGTGAGATAACAAGCACAGGGCAGCATAGGAATTAGTCTGCAGTTTGCACACATGAAGTATACAGAGGGAATAGCAAAACGGCAACATGCAGACAAACCTGAACATTTTGCTGAATGTCTTGCCTCAGGACTAGTAAAGTCGGTCCAATCTCATCTTCATTCGCAACAAGGTATTGTGTCTCAATTCAGCATGATTTCTCACATGGGCAAGAAGGAAAATATAATATGTAGGATAGCAAATAAAATGGCATCAAGTTAATCATATTTCCTCTTTTTTTTCAGAGTATGAAAAATACATGAAAAGGCACTTCCATTTTTTTTCTCCTTTCCATTGATTGAGATGGCCACAAGACAGAGAAAGGATTAAGGCCTCTGGGCCACATGATGAGTTTATATGTCCACCCCCTCTAAGAAACAAACAAGGTATATGCATGCATGTTTTTTATTAACCAAATTCCCCAATCACATATGGCTACAGAACAAAGCCAATACTAGAATGACCCACTGCTAGTGCACATGCCATGCACAACATTGATACTGTAATTAAGAAAAAGAACTCTTCTCTTCCTATATATCCACAGGAGCATGAGCAATTGTTCTTCCCAATGACATGTATACAAAGAAAGCAAGTGCAAACAGCAGTACATCACAACACTAGAAACCTGCTAAATTTCCATCAGGGTATGATTTTCATATGAAAGAAAGAACATGATGAGCTATTACTAACCAAGGACATGGATGATGTGCTTGGAGACACAGAGAAGGTCCATGGTAGATGACCTTTTCTGCCTCTGCTGCTGCTCATCCTCATCATCTCCTGGACATGGCAAGGACAGCTCCTCCATGGCTATCCTCAGCTCAGACTTGCCCTTCTCCATCATCTCTTCCCTCCTCACCTCCATCTCTTAATTCTACTGCTAGCTTCTCCTGTCTACTACTAGCCCCCTACTTATACACATACACATTGCAAGAAAGCATCATTTCTTGGGACAAATGTTGAGGTCAACTTCATGCTGATGTTTTTAATACTAATTGATATCTCTTCTTGTTGTTCTTGATACAACTGTGTGAAGTCAGAAGAAACAAATGGCGAATTATTGGGAGTAAAATAAGATGAGTGGTTCTTGTCCTCGCCTTCTTTGGATGAATTTTCTTTTGTTGATGATGCAACTGTCCAGGAGTTGTTTAACAGGATTGAGGCATTGCCATGTACTTCCTGCAGTAGAAAATGGTTGGCATTGTGTATGACTGATCCGGTTTATGGAGCATTGCTGTTTCTTATTCCAAGAAAAATGTTGTAAACTAGTACTTCTGAATTTTCTAGACAGCAAGTTGAGAGCTACTAGTTCATTTTATCATTTGATTTTTCGGAGAGGATACAGAAGGAACAGAAATATTTTATACTTGGAAAAGCTAAGAACTTGTTCAATAGATTCAGCTACGATTTAGAAATGGAGGAGGCTTCTTGATTCTTATCCGATTCCCGGAGGAATAGGGCCAAAATTGGATGTCTAGAATTGTCACCAATCTTCCTCTAAAATAACTGTACAGGTCCATTGTGAACAAAATAAAATCTGAAATAAAAAAAAGTTCAACTGTAACAATAGCATATGATTTTATCAAGAAGCTGCAACTTTGTATCTCTAAATACTCATGTCGTTACAAGCTTTTTAATAAAATTTCAGATTTTTGATAGAACTATTTGCTACTGTTGCGGTTATGTGAAATACATAGTTAAAGCAGTAGCAAAGTGATAGTTTTGACCAAATAATTATGGTTTAAAAAGAAAAATGTTGTGATTGATCCAGTCCTTCTCGGATAACTCCTGCCATATTCTTGAGAAGCTGACTGCTGCAATCTGCTGATCCACGGACATCATCAAGACGTGACATTTATACATATACACAGCTAATTCTGATCAAATTAGCCATTCCAATCTGTGGGCAGCTGAAGGGTTCAGCTGGGAAATGACCTTGACTATTGTAGTGTGATAAGTAAGTCGCTGATGATTTGCCTGAATACCTACTCATGGTTATCGCAGCAAATTCTTGGGCGGTGGAATCCGTCTGAATATCCATCGGTATCAAGAAAACCACTGTCCATTTGTCCTAATGACCTGATGAATTACTTATCTGAACAAGCAGAAGAACATGAGAGTGTGAAATCGTTGTCAAAGAGTGACATTACTCTGAAACTGATAGCACTGAAACTTTTTGAACCCACAGATTCAATGCAAAAATTACAGTAGTCGATAAGATTTGTTAAGGAGTAAGGACATATACAAGGGCACAGTTTGATAAGCAGGAAGGCAGGCTTGATTGCTTGTTGGGACAACGGGTTTGACCTCAACATTTATTGATAAGTAATTGCGGGACCGATCGATTAGCAACATCTGCTACACTCCTATTGGTGGATGCATGCATCTATGAGGTCAAAATCCTAACTAAACAAGGTCGAAGCAATCTCTTCTCTTCCTATATAGTTAGTACCCACTAAATCATAATTGCTATAAAGCTTGCACCACAGCTCGCCACATCATCGATGCATATTAATTGCCAGGTCTTGATTGGATGGCCTTCAAACATCGCATGTATCCAGTTTGTTGTTGGCAAAAAAAACCAACAGAAGAATTTTTTTTCGTTCTCTCTTAGCAGCCAACAGACGAAAGCAGCCCACTTGATAAACACGTACTCCACAATTTTTTGGTTGGAAAAAAACACGCAACCATTGAGTAAAAAAAGAAAACACGCGAAAATTGATCAACAATGTTTGTCAGTAAGAATTCTCAAATCCCGCTGCAATGCGCGGGGCATCCACTAGTTACCTAGAATAATCTGTCCAGATACCAAAGTGGGAAGCGATGACTGCATTTTTTTTATAGAGAAGAATCGAAGGGAGAAATCAACCTGTGGTAACATCTGAAATAATTCTGAATTTCTGATCACCTTCGTCGTCGTTGCCAACGCCGTCGATCCTGAGACCTCACAGAAGAACTTGTAACTGACGATTAATCGAAGGAAAGCATTCAGATTTCAGATTTCAGATTTGAGAAAACAAAAGGAAAAAGTCCACTTTGACTCCCTTAATTGTATGCCGAATTTAATTCGTACCCCTCAACCAGAAAACCGGATAGAACGACTCCCCGAACTATTGAACCGGTGCAATTTGACTCCCTCAGCGGTATTGGAGGGCGGTTTTGCTGACGTGGCGCTAACGTGGCGGTGTTGACCCGGTCTTCGTCCCACATAGCGCTTAAGTGGCATTAGAATTAAAAAAAAATTATTGGACCCATCTGTCATTCACACAAAATATATATTGTGGGACCCACTGACATATGGGGCCCAAATGTCATCCTCTCTCTCCAATCCTTCTTCCTCCTCCCTTCCTCTCTCTCTCCCCTTTCTCTCCCCCTTCCCCATCTGCGGCCGAGGACGCTGGAGACGAGAGCGGCGGCGGCGGGCGGGCGAGGGCGTAGACGATGAGGAAGGCGAAGAGGAGGTTGGCGGCGACGCCTGCGGAGACGACGAGGAGGCGGTCGGGGACGGGGCAGTTGCAGAGGAGGTCCGGGTCGTCGGGCGCGAAGCCGGAGTCCAGGTCGTCATCGGGGAGGTGGCGGCAAGGAAGTGGCCCGACTCGTGACGAGGACGATGGTGGCGAGGACGGAGGCGGCGGTGGCGACGGACTCGACGCTGGCGAGGAGGTCGGACGGGGCGGCGGAGATGGAGATGGGCCTGGAGGAGGAGGAGGAAGGGTGGAAGGGGAGGTGTTGCCCGCGCCGCTCGCCGCCGTCTCCGCTTCCCCAACATGTCGTCCCCACCGCTGCAGTGGCCGGCAGCTACGGCCGCGCCCCTCGCCCGCACCGGCCACCGCCACCTCCCCCCAGCCGCTCCCTCGTGCCTTCCTCGTTGCCGCGGCCTCCTCGCCCCACCGCGTCCCCGTATCCCCGACATGTCGTCCCCACCGCTGATGCGGCCGGCAGACCGCGCCCCCCTTCCCCCCCCCCCCGGCGCGCGACATCCCCGCCCGCGCCGGTCGCTGCCGCCTACCCCCAGTCGCTCCCTCGTGCCTTCCTCGCCGCCGCGGCCTCCTCGCCCCACCGCGTCCCCGTGTCCCCGACGCCGGCACCGCCGCCCCTCGTCCTTCACCGGCACTACCGTCCGATGGGGAAGAGAAAAAAGGAGAGAAAAGATAGAGAAGGTAGAGAGAGAGAGGGAGGAGGAAGAAGGGTTAGAGAGAAAGGATGACATGTGGGCCCCCCACATGTCAATGGGTCCCACGATATGAATGACAGATGGGTCCCACTATTTTTTTTTAATTCTAATGCCACTTAAGCGCCACGTGGGACGAAAACCGGGTCAACACCGTCATGTCAGCGCCACGTCAGCAAAACCGCCCTCCAATACCGCTGAGGGAGTCAAATTGCACCGGTTTCAATAGTTCGGGGAGTCGTTCTATCCGGTTTTCTGGTTGAGGGGTACGAATTAGATTCGGTGTATAATTAAGGGAGTCAAACTGGACTTTTTCCAAAACAAAACAACGAGATGGATCTGTTGATGGGCCTTTTGTTGGGCTTTTGGGCCTCTGTTTTACTAATGGGCCCATTATTACTACTCTTCTACCTGTTGGCCCACCAATTTGGGATTTCACGTTGTCACACACACATAGGAATGAGTTCACTTTTGGTCCCTTATCTTGATGTCGAGTTTAGATCATGTTTTTGAACCACAATACCAGATATAAAGTATCCCTCGACTTGCAAAATTGAATTTCCTAATATCCCATGCAATATTATGCTCAGTTTTAGTTGACATGGTGAGTTGACTGTAGTCAACCCGGTTGAGGCATCGTGGGACCCACATGGCCCCCACATGTCAGCGGCAAGTCTTTCTTCCTTCTCTCTTCCTCATATTCTCTAGGATAGCGGCCGATGAGGAGAAGAGCGAAGGCCAATGTGAGAGGAGTTGGCGACTTCCCCACGTTCGTCCCCATCTTCTCCGGGGCTCCCACAGCCTTCGCGTGTTCATTCATAACCTTGATTCCACCATCGTTGACCTGCTCGCCTTCTTCCACTCTGTCAAAAGGAGCACGCACGAGCTGCCATGCTTCATGTTCAAGGAGTCCACGGGTGGGGCCATCTGCATCTTCATCCACCTCCACATGTCGTTAGAGGAGTAGGCCAGTGTTGTCATGGTTGCGCCCCTATGTAAAAGATCTCTGATCGAGTGCCCGCCATGGCCACTATCGCAGATCCACAACTTTGTCGCGCGGATGCTCCCCATCATGCCCACTATTGACCTCATTGAGAAGTCAATCAAGGTGCCAGCCAAGCACCTCATCGCCACGTGCAACCTCGTGCGCTACCATGGGCGGATCTAGCATCAAGCTAGAGGGGGTTCTTCTTCCTCCTCCTTCTACCCCTACTATTCTTCCTCTCCCTCTTCTCCCACCTCTCATATCTCCTTTTCTTCATGGGATCCAACGGGGGTAGGGGGACTCGAGATCCCACAGCACCCACATTGGATCCGTCCTTGTGCGCTACAAGGGCTGGCCATGGATTGGGTCGCTGGTGTGCACCGCCAGTCGCCATCATTGCCCGCGTCGCTCGAGAGAGAGGAGTCGAGGTGGTCGCCGCGTAACTCTTCTTCTGCCAGCCGGCCACCACCCTTCTCCTGCCGCATGTTGTCCTTCTCCCGCCGCCCTGGAGAAGAGAGGGGAGAGGGGGAGAGAGAGGATGATTTTGCTAAAGTAGTCGATTTGAACCATTGTGTCTAGAAATAGGGCTTAGGTTATTTGGAGTTACTATTAGAGCAAGTTTAATAGTAGTGTAGCCCAACTATTAGCTCTACAAGTGAACACATCATCTATAATATAATATACTCATACAATATTTATAAATAAATATATGCTATATTGTTAATACATAGCTAACCTCTCATACGCACATATGTAAATATGTAGCTATAGCTTAATTTTCTTCAACAACCTGTCCTCTCTCCTTCACTTAAGAATAAATATGATGCGGTAATTTTTATAGATCGTTTTTCTTTCTCTGTTCACTTAACTATAAGTATGATGTAATAATTTTTAGATCTCGATTATTCTACTCGCTCTTACATGGCATTCACGGTCACGGTTGCATCTGCATGAGACCTCTCGAATTTCACCACGCCACTTTTGTTACCCTTTCACTTGATATTTTTTACCCAAATGATCTTATCATAATCCCATATCACTCTCCCAACAAGCAAGCAGGCAGGCAATCCAAGAGATTAATGCAAAAGCAATCACAAAAACAAGCTATACTCAACTCAGTTACTAGTATGGTACTCTCTCCGTCCCAGAATATAGCAATCTAAGATGAGATGTGATCTATTTAAGACAATGAATCTGGACATTATCAACTGCATGACATACTGACATCCAGCAGGAGTGAGTAATTAAGCTGGCTGGCTGGCTGGCTGGCTGTCTTCCTCTACGTTACCCCGATACGGCAGCTGACCCTCGTATCAGTATCTGATACGCGTCCGGATACGGATACGTGCGGGATACGGCCGGATACGTATCCCGTACGTATCCCTCATTTTTCTCTTTTTCAGATAATTAAAAAAATACCGATACTCCTCCGATACGACGGGATACGTAACTGATACGGGGGAGCCCGAAACCACACAGAACAAAACGCATCTCCCGTTCTCCCCCTCCACACGCGCCGCCGCTCGCAAAAACCAATCCCCATCGCAGTGCCGCCCGGCTGCCCCGACCACGCCGTTGCTGCGTCGCTGCGCCGCCTCGTCGCCAGCCCACCGCCAGCGACCGGCACCGCGCCGCGCCGCCGCCTACAGCCTTCTCCGTGCCCCCTCCTCTGCACTCTCCTCCAGTAGCTCCAGGCTCCTCCACGAGGCATCGCGCCACTGCCTCTGATCAATCCTGCATCACGCCGCTGGCTCTGATCATTCCTGCATCACCTCCGACGAAGACGACGTTGAGGACTTGAGGTAAATCCTGCATCATCTACTATGTGAACAATGTTGTCTAATGTCTACCATCTATTTGAAGAACTATGTTATTTTCATGATTTCATTTACTGTGTAGTCTTGCACTTATTTATGCATGCCTCTTCAATAAATGGTGACTTGGTGAGATGCTGTGAGCCTGTGAATCTGTCGTACTGAGATATCATATATATGATGATTGATGCATTGGTGGTTTGATGCTGTTTGCTTCCTATTTTTTCAGTCCATATCCCACACTCAATTTTTTTTTGTATTTTTTAATTATTATATATATATATATTCGCGTATCCCCGTATCCATGTTTTTGGGAAGATGGTGTATCCCGGTATCGCCGTATCACGTATCCGTATCCGTATCAACGTATCGGGGTAACGTAGGTCTTCCTACGGACCAACTATCTGAAAGCGAATCCACACTGTACACTGATGATCGATGGTTCTTCTTCATCTTTTCCATCTCTTGTCGTGTCAAAACGCCATTAGCCAATCTAAATATCTATAATCATCTACTCTTTCCTCTTTTTTTCTACAGTAGTTATAAACTACGCCACGTCACCACCTCTATCACCCCTCTAAAATCACAGTCGCACAGACTGGTGAAGCGGGCCCACCTGTCAGTGAGAGTGCACGCGAGCTGTATCCAGGGTAGCGCGGGGGGTGGGGCCCACGAGGCCATGTGCAGGGGTGGGCCCCACACCCCGGCGCCGCCCTGCAAGGACAGGGGTCCCACGTGTCGGGCTCCCGTGCGCTTCGGTTCGGCGCGTTGGACGGCGTGGGACCCACCTGCACCCCCCCTGCGCATGGGCCCCACACCCCCCGCCGCGCCACACGCCAACCTAAGCTGTCGGCCCCTCTCCCTGCCTTTCTTCTTTTGCGAACAGGCCCCTCAGCTTTTGATGAATTTCATTCAATTTACACTGAATCACTGCCTATACCCTGCCCATCTCTCTCCAGATGGTCAAATTCTCTTCAAACTTTGGAACATGGGTGTTTAGTTTGTTTGTAAATTTTTTTTAAGTATACGGATACACATTTAAATTATTAAATATAGATTAATAACAAAATAAATTACAGATTCCGTCTGTGAACTGCGAGACGAATCTATTAAGCTTAATTAATCCGTCATTAGCAAATGTTTACTGTAGCATCATATTGTCAAATCATAGCATAATTAGGCTTAAAAGATTCGTCTCGCGATTTACATGCAAACTGTGCAATTGGTTTTTTTTTCATATTTAATGCTCCATGTATGTGTCCAAACATTTAATGTGACGGAAAAGTTAGAAATTTAAAGAAAAAAGTTAAAATCTGAACTGGTATTCTCAAGTGAAAAAGTGTTACTACTCCACTATCATATATTTGACCAGTTCCTGGTGGGAAAACACCCTACTACATGGTCTTGTTTATTTAATTACTATACTACATCGGAGGAAGAACAGATTAAAAATAAAATGAAATCTTAACTTTAAGATTCAAGGTAGGTGGATATGATTTTGTGTGAACCAGTCAATCATAAGCACCCATTTACCATACAATTACATCATTCTAATTTATAGTTCTCTAGAAATAATAGATACTATAATAGCTATCTAGGATTTGGAACGATGTATAATTGATTTATATTACTGAGCAACCAAATTGTGCACTGTAACCGGTTTTTAAGTAAGAAAAATGATTGTCTCCCTTCTAACTATTTCAAATATTGTCTTCTCAACTTATTTTTCTCAAATGGTTTTAACCGTTATGTACATATTTCTTCTCTGTTTGTGCTTAACGAAGCAAATGCTATTCTTCTAAGGGTGTGTTCGGAAATAAGGTTGCCTTTGGTTAATACCTCGTTCACCGTGAACATATTTTCAAAACCGATTTTCTTAAAACAATAAGTAAATCTATTTTTAAGTTTATAATAGTCAATATTTAACTAATCATACGCTAATTGCTCGTTTCATTTTCCATGACATTGACGAGCTCAGCTCCAATTCCTCTACCGAACTCAGCCTTACAAACAAATTACTCATGTACTACCACAAAATGAAGTGCATAAAACTATTTCATTTTTTATGTACAAATCTAAAATAACATAAGTTTTAATTATAAAAATTAAAGATAGTCTCCAACTACTACTACCCAATAAAAAACAGGAGAAATGTATCAACAATAAACGAATGATCCAAAGAAGGTGTACTCCAATTAAATATGGAACCCATGGACCACTCATCAGAGGAGAAAACAAGTGTAAAAACAAGAAGAAAACATTGTGGAAGTTTCTAGCCAGGCAGGCACCCAGGGCAAAGCTGCAGCAGAGGGTCTTTGGTGGTGATAAATGAAAAACACAGGGTGTAATCTGTAAAAATGGAGTCTCCATTCTTTAATTTCTCGTTGAAAAAATTCCGTAATCTTAGCTTCTTCTTCCTGCTTCCTCTCTCTCTCTTCTCTCCTCCTCCTCCCACTGAGATCCCTCTCCCCTCCCCGCCATCGCCATGGCTCCCCCACCGCCGCCGCCGCCGCCGTCGGAGGAAGAGACGAGACACTAGAAAAGACGGTTCTTGACCGAGTTTGCGGCCGATCCGGGTCCGTATTTCCCTCTGCCCTCTTTTTCTTTCCATCGATGTGATCCTCTCATACTTGTGGTTGTAGATTACTGATTCCTCTTCGTTTGTCCGGAAGGAATGTTCTTTTCGTGCTTGCCGGCTGCGGCGCCATGAGAGAAAGAGGAATTATTTTTGTTGTTGTTGTTGTTTACTCATCTTCTTCTTTGTGTGTGTGGATTATAGGCTTGGATTTGCCACGGGAAAGGAAGGAGTTTCGGGGGCTGATAGAGTGAAAGGCGACGAGGGAGAAGATGGCCTCGGAAATGGTTAAGGCGGCGACGAGTGAGAAGCTCAAGGAGATGGATTGGGCCAAGAACATCGAAATCTGCGAGCTCGTCGCTCAGGATCCTGGGTATTCTCGCGATTCCCCTCTTGCATAGTGCCTCTTGACTAGGTTTTCATCTCTAGATTTCTAGTTATCCCGTTTAGCATTGCAAGTTTGCTAGTTGAGGTTTTGGTTATCTAATCCCTAGTATGCAATAGTAGTTTTTTTTTCCTTTCCCATTGATATTTTAGTGTAAAGATGGATTTGTACTGAAGGAGCTATCAATCATTCATTGCCAGTTGGCCTCAATATTTCCTTTAGACAAGTTATGGCTCATGGTTTGCCATATGGAAAGGGTGCTTTTATGTCCTTGAATGGCCTATTTATGTTTATCAACCTGTTACTGTCACCAGGAAAGCGAAGGATGTGATCAAGCCGATAAAGAAGTATTTAGGTAGCAGGAGCAAGAACACTCAACTTTATGCTGTTATGGTAAGTTATATTTTGGGGAAGAAGCTTCCTTTATGCTCTGGCTCCCAGATTAGATTAGTTCACAGAGACATTCTCGTTAAAAACTTGTAAGAGATTAGATATGCCCCGTTTATGCACCAACCTACGCTTTCTGTTCCTAATACTCTGTTGCAAATCACCCTCCAATCCTTGCTTTTCTTTATAAGGGATCATAGAAGTAGTTAAAGATGTTTGCTTGGCTATGGAGTTAATTCTGCGTTTTATGCATCACACCTACATTTTTGATCTCTTAGTCTTAGGTCATATTTGGTATGTTGGTACAAACTATTATCATCCTTGTATCACTACAATTAATAACCTGTCTTCCATAGGGAAGCTTATTGAAGTCGTAATTGTGTGGATATCTATATCTTTTTTGTTACCATACCTTTAATCTTGATTTATTGTGCTATTTGTTGTAGCTGTTAGAAATGCTCATGAATAACTGCGGAGAACCTATCCACAAGCAGGTCATTGATAACGGTCTTCTCCCGATACTTGTGAAGATTGTGAAGAAAAAGGTGATTTGTTCTCTTTTCTTTTTCCCTGGAAGTTGGAGGAAGGTTGTTGAGATGTTGACTTAACATACTATCTGTATTTCAGACAGAATTACCAGTTCGTGAAAAAATATTTCTTTTGCTGGATGCGACCCAAACATCCCTTGGTGGAGTTAAAGGGAAATTCCCTCAGTACTATGGGGCATATTATGAGTTGGTGGTATGTATCATATTTTAATATTTTATCTTCATTAAATGCTGTGTTGAAAATTTGGACAGCACTAAGTGAATCTGTATAGTCTATGGTTTTTCTTTAATATATTTTTTGTCACAAAAAAGACCTCCATGTGCTCTTCTTAATCAATTGATCATTCCTGAGAATCGTGAGGTCTTGTGTACTGGTATTTATTGATCGCCGCATGATTTATGATTTGACCACCTCCACAACACTGATAGGTTTATCAATTCTTGACATATTGCTATAATGTTATCTTAAAACAGGAAATATCTATCTTTTTGTATACATCTGAAGTGATTTATTGTCTTCTCTTTCGTAGTCTGCTGGCGTTCAGTTTTCGAATCGCCCAAATGTTGTTGTTACACAAGCACAAGCTCCAGTCCCGGTCCCAGAACCAACAATCGAACCAAATAATAACAGTTTATCTAGGAGATTGGACGAAGGACAGAAGGAAGTGCATGCGCAGCCTGTTTCCGAGTCAAGGTATTTTCTGGTTTCTACTTTAATTATGATATCATGTTGTATGTATATGAAGCTTGCACTTTTGTTGTTCCAATCTCACAGTACTTACAATACTTGATCAAAATTTCCATGTTTTAGCAATTGAAATCGATTTTTCCTAGAGTAAGTTCTTTTCTACTGAATAGTGAAACTGATAGTTGCATTAAAATACTTTCATCAAATGTTCCATGGCCAGAGAAAATTGTTCCTAGAACATCCAGCATAATTATTCAACTCTTTACTCACAGCTGATGATGAACTGACAGCTGCGGCCCATGACTTGTTCTAATCGTCTCAATGTCATTTGAGCAACAATGCCACAAGTTTACTGTGTACAAACATTGATGCTTTTGACATAACACTGTGGGTAATCAAATGGTATACTCTGGTTTTAATATGTAAGACTCACATGTTGGTTTCTAGAATTGATGCGGCATTTTAGATTGAAATGTGTGCGTTTATAGCACTTATTAATTGCTATTATTTTTTTCTGTGTGCATCTTTGGTTGCTATGAACTATCCTTGTTGATGTACCATGGTAGGAGCAAATAGCATGGTGCTGATAGAAGAAATCGATGGTTCTCAAATGGAATATCCAGGATCTAAACACTTCTTTCTGCATGATAGTATTCCACATTTAGTAAATTAGTAGCATGCCTTATCCATAGGGTGTTATGTCTAGCATATATGCATTTTCTGTTGTTTATTAACACTATTAGAGAATATAATAGTTTGATGGTGTCACGATTGTGATGATTATTACCTCTTTGTGTTAACCATTCAACTGCCTTTTGGCTTTTCAATCGTTTTTACAGTGTACTTTGGTTTATATTGCAGTATAATTCGGAAAGCTTCTAGTGTCATGGAAGTTCTAAAGGACGTGCTTGATTCGATGGATCCTAGACACCCTGAGGTATAGATATGGTGGATTGTATCCTCATTTGCGTGATCAATAGTTTCTTTTTCATTTCTTGATTGTTGTTTATAGATTTACCTTTTTGCTTTCGTATGCCTCCTCCGGGGAAAATAACTTAAGAGGCAATTTATTTTTCTCAAGCACCGTGAACTCTTACATGGTTATATCTGCAACTGTATTTTGTAGGGAGCAACTGATGAGTTTGTGTTGGATCTTGTGGAGCAATGCACATTTCAAAAACAGCGAATAATGCATCTAGTTATGACATCAAGGTAAGTGTCCACTGTTTGGTGCTCTTCAATATCTTTTGACATTGCTCCTTCAGTCCGTGATATGTTTATAAGCAGCTATTTTTACATTGACATATGAGTTGCTATCCTTTGTTGCTAGGGATGAAGTGGTGGTATCACAAGCAATAGAACTGAACGAAGAGCTTCACAAGGTCCTTGTACGGCATGATGCGTTGCTTTCAGTTCAGCCAACTACAACAGTAGCTTCTACTCTCAAGGAGGAAGAGGAAGAAGATGCCGAAAGCCTTTACCGGAGGTATGTGTATTCGTTCTTTATTTCTTCAGTGGTGGAAGGTGGCCAATTACTAAATTTTCCTCACCAACACAGGCTTCGAAAGGGAAAAGCATTATCGGAAGATTATACAGATGACTCCATACCATCATTTCGATCTATACCTGAAGACAAGATGCGCCGCCCACTCACCATTGAGCCATCCAACACTGATAAGAAACTGGGGGCACTGAATATTCGCTCGCCATATCCTGAAGCGAGGCCTGACGTGCTGATTCCACCACCGCCTGCCAAGCACGCCGAGAGGGAGAGGTTCTTTCGGGAGAAGAGCATGGATGCCAACTTGCTGGGCCATCTTAGGGGCTTATCATTGCACAGCCGGGACGGCAGTAGCTCGTGTAGCGGCAGCACAGATTATGGAGACTGAGGTGTAGGTATATGCGGTACATAAAGGATTATTTTTTGTTCTTCAGGATGATATTCTGCTTGCCCGGCAATTGATGTTGAGAGAGGCAGCCTCAGCCTCATCGTCGTCATCTTCTCGCTGACCATTGTACACTTGGTTTTCTAATTCTTTTATAATTCTTCCCCCTTCCGCTTACCTGACATTATCGGAAAGTTGAACAATGCTGTGTTGTGAGCTTTCAGTTCTATAGAGATGCTTGTGTGGCAAGCTGTGTGAGTGACCATCTGCATTGGTTTTACTCTACTTTCATCTCCTTTTGGCTTTCTGATGTGTAGTAGTGGAGTAGTGCTGTGGGTTTTGCTTGTGTCAGAAGCGTGCCATTCAGCTTTTAGCCAGCAGATAATGGATCAGTTGAGCCCCATGATCATGGTGGTGTTGTGGGTCACTCTTCTCAATAGCATTGTAAAAGATTATGCCCATGACTATGAGACACCTTTCTGGCAAGACCAAAGATCCACTAGTATCCTGGAGTAAGTATCTTTGAGACAATCTTGAATGGTTAGGCTGGCTTGCCAAAGTATTTGACTCTACCTGCTAGTGGAGTAGAGATCTGGCAGATTACTGGTATTATTTTATGTTCAAGTGGGTATGCATTCTTTGGAAGGCATACATTTTTTTATTTTCTAGTTACATGGGGTAGCATATAGGAGCAAAGATTTGTGTTGAACTGTTTGTAGAATTTGTGTAGCAAGGGAAATGACCAATTGGACAATAGGAAAACGATCATCAATCATGACTATCACTGTTCATTACATCTAAAGCTATTCTTATCAAAGCGACAGGTTTTACATGATGTCAAGCATGTGAACGTTTGAATTGAGCAAATCCCTGTGTAAATTCCTTGTGAATTCTTGTGTAAAATTCTGATTCCTATCAAAACATAAACACATAGAAAAGCATGGCTCCGAATAATTTTATTTACATACACAGGAAACTAAAATTTTCTAGGTATTTATCTCTTGTTATACTACTCCCTCCGTCTCATTTTTAACTGCAACCATAAGTTTCTGCGCCTAACTTTGATCGTTCGTCTTATTTGATTTTTTTTATAATTAGCATTTTTATTATTATGAGATAATAAAACATGAATAATACTTTATATGTAACTTATGTTTTAAATTTTTTTCAAAATTTTTTCAAATAAAATGAATCCTGAGATTGACGAAGTCACCACTTGCATCGTCGACGGGCACGTCGCCTTCCACTGAGAAAAAAAAAATGTTACTGATGCTCTTATAACCACTAGGCTACATGCCCTTTCGCGGCATGTTATTACTGTATTAGTTAGTGAGACAAAAAAAAAAAGAGAGAGAGAGAAAAACCGAACGGCTTATATCATCCATCATATTCCAACAGGGCCTAATTGGAAGACGTAGTTTTGGACCGTAAACTAAAATTATAGGCCCGTAATCTATTTCCATTATGGGCCAAGAGAGGCTACTTAGATGGCCCGAATATCGTAGAAAAACAAAGAAAGAGGCCCACGAACGCCGCTTCAGTGCAGCCTGCGCCATCGTCGTCCTCCTCCTCCTTTCCTCTCTTCTCGCAACCCTTCCTCCTCCTCTCGCTCGCTCGCCGGAGGCGATGACGGCGGAGGCGGACGACCCGACGGCGGCGGAGACGCTGGAGAAGTTCCGCCTCTACGAGACGCGCGCGGTAAGCCCCCTCACTCTCTCACTGCCTCTATATCTCTCTCTATCTAAGATGAGGATGAGGAGGAGGAGGAATCACTTGATCGATTGGGGTTGGGGGGAACCCTGGATTTGCAGAGGTTCTACCTGATCGGGACGTCGCGGGAGAAGCGGTGGTTCCAGGTGCTCAAGATCGACCGCTCCGAGCGCTCCGAGCTCAACATCAGCGAGGACCCCGTCTGGTACTCCCAGCAGGAGGTCAAGAACCTCCTCCAGCGCATCTCCGAGGGCAACCGCTCCACTGGCGGCCTCACCTTCGTCACCAAGGCCTATGGCATCGCTGGTACTTGGATTTTCCCTCTATTTTGTCGGAAATTAAAATTCAATTTGGTCCTCCCATGCGGCAGTACATCATTCTATTCATCGTTATTCACTTCATGAAATTCTGGATAGTTTTCTTCCAATTAGATTATCCTAGCTAGGAACATTGCCTACTTAATATGCCATAGTGATTATTTTCGCTCCCGAAGAAAGAGGCGGAAAATTGCAAATGCCCTTATTGTCTCCTGTGTCAGTAATGTAATGGGTTCTTACTGTAAATCTGCAATGACAGTAGCTACCTATTCACCCAACCAGATGTCGGAAGTGGTTCCGAACAGAAATGAATTGGATAAAATTTGATTTAAATGGGAGATAATTTAGTAACACTAGATTTCTTATTCATCTTGTCGAATTCACAAGACCCGGTTCCTCTTTCCATTGTTCCTCAAGCTATTTCTTTTTGTTTCTTCTGTTATGTAGGTTGCATCAAGTTCTTGGAGTCATATTATCTGATTTTGGTCACCAAGCGCTGCCAAATTGGTTGCATTTGTGGGCATCCTATTTACTGTATAGATGAGAGCCAGATGATAACCATTCCACACTCATCTGTGCAGACAGATGTTGCAACCTCTAAGAATGAGCTAAGGTGATTCTTCCTGTGCCTTCTCTAACATTTCTTTTTTCATTCATTTCCTCATCTTTTCTATGCTCCTTTACAGTTTCAACTTGTGGGTACTCGTATATATTTATTTAACTTAAGGAAATATTAACAGGTACAAGAAACTTTTGGCTAGTGTTGATCTCACCAAGGATTTCTTCTATAGCTACACATACCCCATTATGCAGAGCCTGCAGCAGAATGTTACTTCTGCAGGGATGAAGGAAATGCCTTATGAAAATTTATTTGTCTGGAATACTTTCCTGACACAGCCGATTCGGTCAAGGTGCCGCAATACTCTCTGGACAGTAGCGCTGGTCCATGGGCATTTCAAGCAGGTTATGTCTAACAAACAATCCACAATTTGGTTTTGCCACTATTCTTGTTTCTGGTGTGTACTTCTGCAAAACAGATAACTCATTCTATTTAGAGCTTTACGTACTCCCTTGATCATTCCAAGAATGCGTTTGCTTCAAAATGCCTGGGAACTGGGAATTTATCTGTAGAGTCATTCTAGTTATAATGTGGATACCAGATACCGAATACCTACTTATTTACCAGAGTATATTGCATTCGAAATGAAGCGCTTGGAGCTTTATCCGCAAAGTCCTACTAACTTATATTCCTATTTCTCATTTGTTGGAGTAGAATGCTAGGTGAGTTGTGGTATAAGAAAAAAGGTACCACCACGATTTCAATTCCAAAGTTCATTTTCATCAGTATTTTTTTTAAAAAAAATCCAACCCATAATAAGAAAAAAGTGCAACTACTATGATGTTGTACCAAGTCTTTGTTGTCATCATCTGTCTGTTCCTTACTAACTGTAGCTATTATTACTTGAAAACTAAAGGCTTTGGGAGTTGGAAATTGTTGCTTGGTTGATGACTGATGACTGATGAGTGTTGATACTGTAGAGTACTTATTTAGCTTATCTATATTTCTGTCAAAATTATATCTCCCAACTTTCATCTGACCTGTGCAAATATTCATAAATAAATATGCTACAACTATTTTTGAAATTATGCGTACTACATACTAGCATAATATATTTTCCATTTGATTTTCCAGGTCAAGCTATCAATATTTGGCAGGGAGCTAAATGTTGTTCTCATTTCTAGAAGATCACGGCATTTTGCAGGGACACGGTAGGTTGTATGTGCTTTAAGATTTCTGGAAGCCCTTCTATTTGGCATGTGCTCAGCTCAGTCCATTATGCATACTTGCATCCTCACCCATTGACCCTTTTTATTTGATTGCTGTTGACTAATGACAACTTGTGTAAGATTTTGTTTTCATGAATTCATGCTTTACTTTTAAATCAACGCTTGGTGCTCCTCTACTATTTGTTTCCTCTACTTTGTGACTGAAACCAAGAAAAATATTGTCTATGCTTTGTTAGTAGTATCTTAGTTTTATTCAATTTGAAATTTTACTACCTTTCTGATGATACCTGTAGGTATTTGAAAAGAGGCGTGAATGACCATGGAAAAGTTGCTAACGATGTTGAAACTGAGCAAATAGTCTTTGAGGAGGAAGCTGGTTCCTGGAAGGGAAGAATGAGTGCAGTAGTACAGATGCGGGGATCGATCCCTCTCTTTTGGTCGCAGGAGGCTGGCCGACTTAGTCCTAAGCCTGATATTATTGGTAAATAGAGTGTTTTTTTAAAAAGAAATATCTTATGACATCTAACATGAAGCCAACTTACATGGTTTGATTGGAGAATATTCATAAATCAATTCTGTCAAAAAAATATTCATATATGAAAACCAAATTTCCTATCTGACCATGCTTCTATTAGACCTGCATGTCCAGCAAACACTCTGAATTTTAACTATTAGATGCTTGTTCAATCTCCTCTCTGATATGCTTCTAAAATATGGGAATACATAAAATTTCTTGAGAAATCTTAAATTTAATGTACATTTCTGCAGTGCAGAGATATGATCCTACATATGAAGCAACTAAGTTACATTTTGATGATGTCGCTCAGCGCTATGGGCATCCTATCATAATACTTAATTTAACAAAGGTATTTTCTTTCTTCTTGATTTTGGGATCTCAGCGTGAGTATTCTGTTGTCCTTCCATCTTAAATATGAGACTGATGAACTGAACTGAATAGTTGATCATTGTACATCTTAATTGTTCCATTTTTCCTGAATAAGTCTCATTTGGTCATGATCAATTTGTCGAGGTACAGTGTTGTTTAATCAGTTGTTTCTATATCCAACCTCTTGATTTTATGTTTCAATATATTGCTCATCAAGTTTCTTTGTGCTATTTGTGTAGACTTTTGAGAAAAGGCCCCGAGAGATGATGCTCAGGCGTGAATATTTTAACGCAGTTGGATATCTTAATCAAAATGTCCCAGAGGAGAAGAAATTGAGATTCATCCACTGGGATTTCCATAAATTTGCAAAAAGGTTTACATTGGTTCTTCATAAATTCCAAATTTGCTTGAGTTAGCGTGTGTTTCATATGCTAATGGTTCTCCATCTCTTTTTTCAGTAAGTCTGCAAATGTTCTGGGTGTTTTAGGAGGTGTTGCTAGTGAAGCACTGGATCTCACTGGATTTTACTACAGTGGAAAGCCAAAAGTTCAAAAGAAAAGGTCAACTCAGCTTAGTAGAACTACCACCGCAAGGTACCAATATTTCATTAAGTTTATGAGTTCATGTAAAATAAATCTCTCTCTCTCTCTCTCTCTCTACCTGGGTGATTTCGATGGCCAAATATAACAAAATTTGTTTTCTACCAAATTCCGGTCGGTTAATGTCCGGTCGGTCTGTTCTTTTGCCAATTGATAAAAATTGCAGTAAATTCAAATTTGAAATTTTACAGATTGAGATCACCCCTCACTCTGCCAGTGTTTTGGTTGCTGCTTGGATTTTATTCTGGCATTCACACACTGGTGTCATAGTTGTGGTAGTAAAAAGGCCAACATCAGTAGCTCACAACCAGTAGTGTTAGCTATGCACAGTGCACCTTACAAGTGTTACGAATCCAGCAATTTGATGGTATTGTTGCATGGTCCAACTGTAGGTGCGTGGTAAGTTAGATTTTACATTGCTTGTGTAAAGTGAGTTGTGCAGTGGTGCTAATGTATAATTCTTATTGAGCCAAACATTCTTTTAACTAAAAGGAGAATCCAAAAAATAGTAACTCAATGTAATCCTTTTACACAGTGAGAACTGAAGTGTAAGCCTGCCACATGAGCTTAGGGTGTCAGATAATGCCATACTTGCTGTGGCGTCCAACTGTCCAAATTATGTTCAAAATTAGAAGTGCACATTTTGTGTTCAAAATCAATATGTTATGAGCAGACGATATTTCCCATATTTCTTTTCACAGGGATGGTTCCATTGATATAAGAGCTAGTTCTGGAGACCTTTCAAGGCTTTCGAGTAATGCAGATTCACTTGGTCCCACTGCTTCTCAAGATATAAGAAAAGATGACAGCAAACAAGAACTTCTTGGTGATGGTCCTTGTTATCAAACTGGAGTTCTTCGTACAAATTGCATGGATTGCCTGGATCGTACAAACGTTGCTCAGTATGCTTACGGCCTTGCTGCTTTGGGAAGGCAGCTTCATGCAATGGGAGCGACTAATGTTTCAAAAATCCACCCAGATAGCAGCATTGCTTCAGCTTTAATGGATTTGTACCAGAGCATGGGTGATGCACTTGCTCATCAATATGGAGGCTCAGCAGCACATAACACAGTAAATAATTTTTGCCTCTTGTTTTTCTCTTATTTTGTTAACATCAAGAGGATTTCTGAATCATTTATAATGGTCATAAGGCCCTTATAGGAAACTCCCCTTTGGTAGTCCTGAGTTGATATAGTTAGTAAACATGTACCCCTATTTGTAACTTTGGGATGAAGCATTGGCCAATCTCACTGACATTTTTTCTCTTCTGTTTGTGTCTACTAGTGCTCATGACCTTCCAATGAACTTAAGTTTAGTCTACTTGTTTCTTTTCAGGTTTTCCCTGAGAGGCAAGGGAAGTGGAAGGCTACCACTCAGTCTCGGGAGTTCCTCAAATCAATTAGACGGTATTACAGCAATGCCTATACTGATGGTGAGAAACAAGATGCCATAAATCTGTAAGTCTCTCATTTTTACCTACAATCATAAAGATCTTAAGCCAGCAGGATGGTGGATTAGCTGTCAGGATGATTTACTTCTGGTAGGTGAAATTTATGTAGCTCAACTACTGTTTCTTTTTGGTGTTATTACCAGATTTTTGGGTTATTTCCAACCTCAAGATGGAAAGCCTGCTCTCTGGGAATTAGACTCTGATTACTATCTTCATGTGACAACATATGGCGATGATCTTATATCTGATAGCTACCATATGACGTAAGTTGAAATTTGGTTCTATGCTTCAATTTACATAATTATTTTTCGGTTCCTTGTGTGACCAGATGTAGCACTTGTTTTATGCCGTAAATTGTTATGTTTATTCATGTTAAACTGACAGCTCCTCAACTGGAAATAGTGCACCTGGGGAATCTGGAGCTGCATTGAGCCCTGGAGCCACATTGAGCCCTGTTCCAGCATGTAAGGAGGACTTCTCAAGGATGAAACTTACTTCATTTGACAAACTTATTGAAAGGACTTGCAGTTCAATAAGGAACGTGCGGCTTCACTGTGATGCTGATCTGAAACAGAGCGGAACTGTTGGAACTTCTGGAATGGCCCCAGATGCAGTGTATGTCTTTTTCTCATTCATGCGCTCTTATGTGGAATTATCTTATCAATGTTGTCCTTACAGTTTGCCTATTATTCAGGGAGATACAGCTTAGAACCCCAAACTGGTTGTTTGGTCAAAGAAAACACGCAGAGACTGTCCCAACAGTAAAAGTTATTCCAGTGGAAAATGCAAATGAGGGTAACGGGGAGGACACGAATGTTTCTCTATGTGGGGAATTGAATTGGCTTTCGTCAGCAGATACATGCGAGGAGGACAATTTCAGAAGGTTGTCCCAGTAGTAGTTCAAACAGGTCTCGTTTTAGTGTCCACCATGTCCAGCTATAGTTTAATTACTGTTAATTCATGCAGGTATCTTGCATTCACAACAGCGGACGTAGAGAATGGCTGGTATGGTGGAACACTGATATATGATCAAGATGAAAACAGCGGGGCTTATAAACATTACTCTGAATTTTGCCAGGTAAGAGGCTTACATGGTTCACAGATCATTGTGAAAGACTAGAATCTCATCTCATGCTTCCAAACTCATAACCTCACCTGTTTATGGACATGACAAAATGTAGGGCTCAGTCATGGATCCCCTCGAGCACGATCCCGAGAAAGAAATGCATTATGCGGAGGCCCTCAGCGTGGATATTGACATCACTGATGATGCAACGGTAGAAGCAGAAATGCAAGCTGCCCTGGACGATTACCAGATAATAGGTTCAGACCTCAGCATTATTCCATCTTGTGGATCGCTCGCTGAAGATCCAAGCCAGCTGACGAGGTGGATCATTGGTGATGATAAACTGCAAGTCGCACAGTAGCCCTTTTCTTTTTTTTGCCAAAGGGCTGTACAGATTTCTACAGCAGCCTTGTCATTCATAAACCAGTTGCGTAGATACGAAGCTCTTACCATACAAAAGAGCTACCCCAGCCGGTGTTTTTATCCATTTTGCTGGGAGCAACCATGCATGCAAATAAACATTGCTGGAGGCAAGGTTAGCTTTATTTGTACATATAGGATTGGAGAGCATAAACATGGAGGGATAGCACTACTTGGGAGTATTAAGTGTATGAAGCAGATCAAAGCTGTATTTTTTTTTGTTGAATAAACTGTATGTGTGTAGTCTTCATTTGTTAAGATTTCTGGCCTGTATTTTCTTGGGTTGGAAAAATGAAATGCATTCACAAGTGGAGTGGTTAGTTATAGTTAAGACTTAGTAAGAGCTTGTCTCCCTAAATGACGGGGGCATGAGTCGTTGTGCCATTGGTCGGAGCTTGTCCTTTATTTACCCTTAACCTTATCTTATCTTATTCAGCATGCACATGGTATTATTAATTTTTAGTACAATGTTCTGCCGGGGTTGTTGCTTACTGATGCAAAACTCTTTGCAAGAATAAACTATACCATCAGCCACCAATTAATCTCTGAGTCCTTATTAACGAATAACAGTAATAATACAATAAACAATGTATACGGCGGCTATGGCTATGATGTTATTCTATTGCAGGAGTTGTTGTGTCTGACGTAAGCACTGAAGTGGATATGATTTGGAGTACTATCCTTTACTGCCAAATTTCATCTGTTTTTTTTTTCAAGTTCTTTAAGAAGTCCAAATCAAACTCTCCAAGTCACAAGTAGAAGTATGAATCTTAAGAAAAAAAGAGTTTTAAGCATACAAATATAAGCATCAATCTGATCTGCATTCGACACTTTGGTCACTAGTTGAGTTGAGTTGAGAGTTGCTGACAAAGCAAGCGGCTTTCCATGTCTATCACCTCCGCTTCCCGCCGCGCCGGCGCCGCCGCGCTCCCCATCCTCCGACGAATCGGCGGCGCGTTCCGCCGCCCCTTCTCGTCGGAGCCGGACCCGGCATCCTCCCCGGGGTACCACGTCGCCGGCGGGCCCAGCTTCATGCGCGGCGCGGTGTTCTGGGAGCCCGGCCGCCCTCTCACCCTCGAGGACTTCCGCATGCCGCGCCCCAAGGCCGGCGAGCTCCTCATCAAGACCAAAGGTCGCATCATTGCAGCCATCTATCGTCTGCTGCTCCTGCGTTTCTTTGTTTCTTTGTTTGTTTCCTCGAATTATTGAGGCTGACGCTGGCCCAATCTGTGCAGCTTGTGGAGTTTGCCACTCCGATCTCCATGTTCTCAAGGGTGAGCTCCCATTCTCCAGCCCCTGCGTTGTTGGGCATGAGATCACTGGGGAGGTTGTTGACCATGGTACTCACACCCCTGCTGAGATCATCAACAGGTTAAGTATATTATACTGATGTGACTGACCCAGCTGGTATTATCAAGAAACAACCTATGCTTGCTTGTTTGTTTAGGCTGGTGAATGTATAGGCATGCGTGTTACTGTAAACTTGAGGTTGTGGATTGTGGATTGTGGACTTGGAATTGATTGATTCTTTCTCCCAAAAACATATTTTAGGTTCCCAGTTGGCAGTCATGTTGTGGGTGCCTTCATAATGCCCTGTGGGAATTGCTTCTACTGTGTTAAGGTAAGTAAATAATAATAGTACCTTCTCCTTCATGCCATTCTTTCCAAGAGAAAAAAAAAAGAAGAAGAGAGGTTGCTTTGCTTTCTTGATTGCACACATGTACATCAACTTGATATAGGGCCAAGAAGATCTGTGTGAGTCTTTCTTTGCATACAACCGTGCTAAAGGAACGCTATACGATGGTCAAACCCGATTATTCCTTCGTAGCAATGGTAATCTTAAATATACAACTCCTCACATGATATGTGGGTAATGATACAGGTATAACTGTGCCTTTGCTTACAGCATTCTTTTTATGCATTTCCAGGAAAGCCAGTGTACATGTATAGTATGGGTGGGCTTGCAGAATATTGCGTTGTGCCAGCCAACGCACTAGCAGTTCTTCCCAACTCTTTGCCATACACAGAGTCGGCGATTCTAGGATGTGCCGTGTTCACTGCATACGGCGCCCTGAGGCATGCTGCTGAAATGCGTGCTGGGGATTCAGTAGCTGTGATTGGAGTCGGAGGGGTTGGGTCAAGGTTAGCTGATATGAGATGTCTTCATCCATGCCTCTCTTTTTTTTTTTTTGACCTTTTGAAATAAGCTGAGTGAAATTTTTTACTTTTCGTATGTCCTCATAATTGGAACATTGCAGCTGTTTACAGATAGCCAAAGCCTTTGGAGCTTCCGAAGTCATTGCAGTGGATGTTCTTGATGAGAAACTCCAGAATGCTAGAACACTTGGAGCAACCCATACTGTAAATGCTGCAAAAGAAGATGCAGTTGAAAAGATTAAGGTATTTTTTAACTGTCAAGTTTTCTTAGCTACTTAACCACCAGCAGTTCAAAAACAACTCGAATTCTGTTTTTAATTTCCCGTTGCTGATCTTAATATGCTATTTCCCGTCTTCTTCAAGTGTCCATCTTGAAAATTTCCCATTGAATGTGATTATTTGAATATCTTACTGGCTGCAGGAAATTACTGATGGGAGGGGTGTGGATGTAGCTGTGGAAGCACTTGGTAAGGCATTGACATTTTCTCAGTGCGCCAAAAGTGTACGAGATGGAGGCAAAGCTGTTATGATTGGCCTTGCTGCCACAAATGTGATGGGGGAGGTGGATATAACCCGTCTTGTTCGCCGACAGGTACAGAAACTAGCTCCAATGAAGTACTATTGACTTGGTTTTCTAAGAAAGAGAAGAGAGATACTAATACCTTCTTGGTACAAACAGCAAAGCCATTTGAGCTACTCATTCAGTCTAGATGCAGATACTTTCTTCTTGTTCTGCTTGCAAAAGAGGACCATAACATCTTAAACATAGGAACTACTAAACTGCAACATTGTGATAACACATTGCATTTGTTGTTCTGTTGATTCACCATAAATTTGCAATAGCCCCACACAAAAAAACATAACATCAACTGAATTGCTTTCTTGAATTGTACTATTATGCTTGTTTATTTACATGTTCACATGGGACCAGGTGAAGATCATTGGGTCGTATGGTGCAAGGGCCAGGCAAGATCTTCCTCAGATAGTCAAGCTTGCAGAGAGTGGGGCCTTCAATCTTAAGAACACCATATCAAGGAAATGCAAGTTTGAAGAGGCGAACAGCGCCTACGAGGATCTTGACCGTGGCAAGATCGTTGGGCGAGCCGTAGTTGAGATCATGTCGTAGTGATGAGATAATTCTGTGGTTCATAGCCTGGGATCCCACTCTGGGTCAATGAAATAAGTAGGCTGTGACACTACATATTCCATGAACAACCTCACTCCCTGATTTGTGTTAAGATGTCTGAAATTGTTGATGTTGAACTGCAGGGAGATGATTAAATCAAGTGTGATTTCAGGTGTCATCTCATTCTGGATTTGCCTTTGTTCCTCCTAACAGGAAGGGTGAAGGAGCTAAACAAGCTGACATGTTCTTCACCCTTTTAGTTTTAATGCTCATTTCAGACTTCTCACATGCTTCTGCACTCCTTGATATGAGCTCAATGCTTCATACAAGATCATACATATTGTAGTTGCTTGATATAAGCATTGCCTGTTGTGTTTTAGAGCCAGATATCTAGTTTATAGTAGCACAGAATCATCACATAACATGTTTTGACTTAGCATCAGAAACATCTATAGGGTAGATACATATACAGATACTCCCAGAAGCAGTAGAAAGTAGAAACAAACAGCTGCTAGGGCTCCGCAAATACAATCAAATGAAGTCAACCCTTTCATTAGGGTTGTATATCAAATACATTCCTAACCATTTCTTCGGTAGAGGTGTTTACAGGACAGCAGCTATGCATGTACATCAAAGGTATGATAGAAAGATTTCTAACATTCATCCTGTCGATGCTTTGTCACTTCCATTTGTCTACAACAATAATGGGATTCTTCAAACCAAAATTCCCATACTTCCAATTTCCAACTACATGGAAAAGTATAAAATAAGTGAATCTGAGCACGTTCAATCGGCACAGATCTTTTGCTCATGCGCTAGCCACCATTTCTGTTTTCTTATCAAGGCTAGAAGTCAGCTGCTTGTCGATCTCAGCAAACACATCATCCACCAAAGCATCCCCTTTTACCTAAATTACAGGACATTGAAGGCAACATGTTGAATATTAGTGCACTAAGATGCTAGTATTTTTAACTGCAGAAACATAGGTAAAATACGGCATGGTTATTTGATTGTATGATTTTAGCATCATTTAAGTATCAGAAAGGAATGCTGATGTTCAGGCTCTCAGCCTTGGTCCAAGTAATGAGAGTTTTCAATTCAACAGGAGATAACATGCCTACCTCAACTATCACATCTTCGTAAATTGATAGCAAGGATTCTACATTTTGATAATGAGTCTGTAACCTCAGCTTAACCTGCAAAGAAAAAAAAAACAGATGTGAATTGGATCCTGATGACATCAAGCTCTTTTATTTTCAGAATAAACATAAATAGAAAAGCATTAAAGCAGGTTATGAGAAATATTGGAAAGAAAAAAGACAACCATATGGACACTGCAAAGTTCTACCATTGCAATGTGAGATTCAAGAAATGGCATCCTAAACTAGATAAATTCACAATTATCCTCCACCACCACAAGAACCAGTGAACTCACACCATCAGCTCAAATTCAGCTGCTGATCATCAGTGCAAGACCTTGGACACAAGTACACCACAGATTCTACGACTTTACATCGTAAATATTGAATGTTCTGTGGACATGAATATACATACAAACAAAATTACATGATAAGAACAGTCCACGGGCATATGACAAAGTATTTCAAGCTAGTTTGAATAATAAGAGAGCAAATAATTGGAATGTTCAGCACATCAAATAGCAAATGGGTCCATCATGTCAATTATAGATGCACTACTATATTGGCCTTTTTTTTTGTGTCAATAACCTCTAGAAACATCAAACATGTACCTTTTCTTCTGTATCATCAAATCTCTGTGTAAGCCTTGAAGCGATTTCTTCATTCTCCGGTGGGGAATACTTTAGATGGTATATTTTCCCAGTTACAGGATCAAGCCGTCTCCCAACTACCCTTTCAACAAGAAGTTCATCTGGAACCTATATCAGCAAACGATGAACTAAATTACATGTCCGTTCTCCCTCTGTGAAATATAGTTACTAAATTCCACCCCATTTCACTGAGAAATAGATAAAGCCTGCCCGGCAAACATGTTGAGAGCATGATAAAGTTCATTGTCCTTGCAGTTAATAGAAATAATGCCTCAAAATGAAATCGTGGATCTCTTTTATTTTTTTTCTTAAACTAGATAATCTGTCATTATTTTCAAAGAAAAATGATATATCAGTCACAACTGGCAGCTTTCTTCTGTTCAAGATATTCATTAGCCTAAGTGGCTAAGTGTATTGACCAACAGTGTTTCAAGGACTAGAAGGAGTTTGCAGAGAAATCTAATTGTTACTGCTAGTACTATAGGTTAATTAATGGTGAAAAAGAAATCCTTGTCTAAAAAGGTCAAATATGACAATTGTTTTGGATTATATGCCAGCAATTTGGTGATTCGGTCTTCTGGAACTTACATCCAAAAGAATGAAAATGTCAGGTCGGATATTAAGAGTTTCCAGCGCCATCGCTTGCGAATAGCTTCTTGGGTACCCATCCAACAACCAACCCTTTTCCTGAGCATCTGGTTGCAGAAGGCGTTCCTTCACCATCTGGCAGTAAACCAAAAATATTTCTTCAGCACCATTTATAACTTAACTTCTATGACATCAACACAAATAACAAAAGTAGAAACCCACATTAACAACAATCTCATCAGGAACCAGCTGACCCTTCTCCATAAATTCCTTAGCTCGCTTCCCATTCTCACTGCCTGCAGCAATTTCTGCCCTTAGCAAATCTCCAGCAGAAATGTGCACCAGACCATACTGCAAATTACACCACCCATTACTTAACACAATGAAGAAAACCAGTCTATGATTCTCAAAAGATGTTTACGGAACTATTAACAATTTAACTTCATTACCTCATTACATAATACATACATATGCCACATAGCACATGAGTATCATACATTTTTACCAAGCATTATGAAGAAAATAAAAACTGAGACATCATGCAATCCCCAACTCACTTACTTTGCTCTTGATGAGCTCACACTGCGTTCCCTTTCCAGATGCTGGAGCCCCTGCTATCATGACCTTCAAAGGATCAGCCTTCACAGCCACAACAACCTGAAATCAAGTTGGCATAGATGTGTAACTCCAAAGTGTTAATCCACAGGGCAGAGAAGGACAAGGGTTCTCACAGGATCAGGCTCAAATATCATCCTTACAATGCAATTTATAAATGTATAGACTACTAAACCTAAACTAATAAAAACTCCATCAAATATCTTCCATTTCAAGAACTAATAACCAGCACATCTAATCTATCATAGAAGGCAGCAAAAGCTTCAAAATCCCGTAGTTTCGTGGCCAAAATCACGAGACGCACAAAGTAGCCAGCAACCGTAAAAAATCCAAACTTCACGGAGCTTTCTTTTGATCTCCCCCTCTCATAAACTACTACAAGTAGCTAGCAATACTACATGAAGCAAAAATCCCCAAAAACAAAAATCGCAGGTAATACCTTGGCTGCTCGAGGCAAGGAGCGTGGCTTCCTGGTCGCCGGCGAGATGCCGCAGCGGCGGGCGGATTGGAGGCGGAGAGAGCGGGAGGTCGCCGGCGAAGGGGGCAAGAAGAGGCCGCCGCGGACAGTCGGCCTCTCGGCGGATAAAACCGGCGGCGAGAGGGTGGCGGTGGCGGCCATGGAAGAGGCCATGGGCGGCGGCGCCGGCGAAGAACAACACAAACGCACAACTTCTACTACTACTAGTCTACTACTACAAATAAATAAATGCTTCTCTTTCTTAAAAAAGAAGACATTTTTTCTGTTGACAATTCGTGGACGAAAAACATGAGGAGATATGTGTTTCTTTCCCTTTCGATTTGGGAACTCATTTTCTTGGGTTATTATTATTATTATTTCTAGGTAGGTGTGTGTTGGTTTGAGTACTGCAGATTGATTTTTGAGGCCCAAGATCCCTCCTTTCCTATGGGCATCCTGTCCATGTTTTTTTCCCTTTTTTTTTTCTAATTTTCGTTTCTGTGATGAGAGATGACTGATGGCTTGTGGCTTTGTTTTTGTTTTATGTGTGGTGAGGTTGAGTGGTAGCAAAGGGTAGTTTTCCTTAAAAAAAAAGAAGTTCCTTTTTTGCATAGAAAAGACATGATTTTGGATGAAACATGCTTGTAAGAAAAAGAATGATATTCATCGTTTATCAAGCTATTGAGTATCGATGCATTCTTTAGGGCATGTACAATGGTCTTTATTAGCGGTCTCTCTTTATTGTCATGCGAGCATATTTGGTGATATAGAAGAGAGAAGAAGAAGGAAAGAGAAAGATGGTTGCTACGCATGACAATGGCACAGAGTCGACTCTTAGCATTTATTAAGAAATTTTTTTGTTGCATTGAGTCTAATAAAGGAAAGATGACTAGTAAGAAAGTATTTTGGTGCATTAATGGTTAGAGACCATATTGTCTTAACTATTGTAACGTGATAGTCTCTAATTAACGTAGAGACCACACCGGTCTCTACCTTTGTACTTTCCCTTAATGCACATTAATCTCGATAAAGTTTCTTTTTGGGAATTTTTGGTGATAGAGAAATTTCGTTTCCACCCCTTTATTTAGGTAAAAATGAATTGTTTCATTCCCTAGTTTCTTTTCTCTATTAGTTGTAACCTCTTGAAAGTTGTTTCCAAAACTAAAATATCTCATCATCAGCTTGTTAGTTTAATAGTTGCACTAAAAACTTAAATTCCGAGGCTTACCTTTTATAGTTCAATTTGGGTTTATTTATCATAGTCTATTTTTCAACATAGTTTCAAACTGCTAATTACGGATATTATTCTTTTATTTCATTTATTTTTCACGGCTTTTCAGTTATAGATCCAGCAATCAGGCTAGTGCAATATGCTACCATGTCATATATTCAGCCATTGCATTGCCAAAGGGTTTAAATTCAAGATTTATTTATTTTGCAAGGATAATTGTTTTTCTTTAAATTTTGTTAAAAAAACAAACATATACCAGTTTGGCTCCAAACATCTCGTTTGCTTGTCAGCTCGTCAAAAACTCGTGTTCAGCGTTTGCAATGGACCAAAAATTGCATGGGTACACAAAAGTCACCGGTCTTTGTGCGTGCCAATAGATTTTTTCAAACGATGTACTTGAACACCCAAACCCCTCCAGGTTGGTTAGCCCCCACAATTGCTTTGGGTAATTGGGTTTGGTCAAACATCACCTTTTTTTTAAAAAAAAATCAGCACATATTACTTGCCAAAAAAAAAACTCAGTGATAAAAAAATATATATGGGCACATATAATGTATGGGGAAGCGGCCTTAAAGTATGGGTTAAGAACCGATTTATAGGGGGCAGCTTCCCGTGTAGGGGAACCGGTTTTCATGATACTTATTGGCCCTATTTCTAGTGTTTCCTGTTAGTTTTTTTTTTTCTGTTTTAAGCAACTTCTTGTTAGTCATAATATTTTGAGGAGGTAATTCCCTTTGGAGCATTTTTTTAATTACACGGTAGACGCACATGCGCACACACCACTACACACGTAACGCTACTCTCACACCCTTATGAATGTGTCCCCACACTTGCTCTAAGAGACAGAGACCAATGACATATACCTGATCTTAGTAAAGTTTTGTTGAAAGTCCGTCTGTATGTGTACGTAATATTCGTGGGTACCAGAGTTTATATCCTGGTGGGTGGATCTGGGTTTGTTTTAAACGAATAATGATGCTACCCTTGCTCACCCAATAAAAATGCTGCATCAGTGTCGTCTGCAACTTCTCCAAATCTAACCAATTCATTATGCGTTTCAAGGTTGTTTGTAGAAACACGCACACAATTTCTCGAGTTGATTTTACCTCTGTGACTATCACCGAATGATCTGAATCTGAAAAACTCTCTGACAGAATGTGGTAGCAGCAGCCACAGCAGATTCTTTCATGCCAGAGTTAGTGCAAAACAGTGCAATTAATACTGTCTGATAATCCCAAGTACAATGCCTTTCAGTTCTTACAGGTGTTCATGTTTGTGCCCTCTCCTATACATCTTCAGTGCCTAAGCAAGAAGCATCATGAAATCTGAAAGTCAACCCTTGCTGTACAATATATATATATATATATATATATATATATATATATATATATATATATATATATATTGTCCTTTTCATTTTTCCTGTCCCCTTCTTGAGGGATGCTGCTTGCAAGTATTGCATCTGGTGGTTACACATGCTGGATGCATTGCATTGGACATAAGCAGTTGACACTTGCAAAAATGCAAAGTCACTAGTACCTTTAAGAAAAAAAAAAGGAGAAGCTAGCTGAGAAAGTTGGAGATCTTGGTTAGATTGTCCATCCATTGGCACTATCTCTGGTTGGCAACCACGTAATTCCCTCCCTTTTCAGTTACTCATCAATTACCTTTTAGTTTTTGTCACTTCAACATTTTGTGGTTACATTACAAAGCAATGTTGCTGAAACAGTTGAGATAATATATAAAAAAACGAAGCATATTAGGGGTAATTAGTCATAAGAATCAGGTGTCCCTTCACCATTGATGCAAAGCAAGCCACTGAGTAAATAAGTTGTTCTTTTTTTCTTTTAAAAAAAGAAAATGCTGGATTCATTGGATTTTATCTTTTCTTTGGTAATATCAGATATTTTTTAAAAAACTTAAGCAATGTGCAATTTTAGATGACAAAATAGTAAACTTCTTATGCGACCAAAATCTAGCGAATACGAAACAAAAATTCATTGGATTTTAGCTTCTTTAGCACTAGTAGTATCACATAAAAATCAAGTTTTTTCGCGGAGGCAAAAGCTTCGCAATGTACGATTTGAAGTACTAGAAAAAAAAATTCAATGCAACTGAAATCTAGCAAATACCAGATGGAAAAAAAAGAGAGAAGAGAATAGAATATGGTTGACATCTGAATTTGTGAAAGGGAACATGTGTATCTACCACTCACAAACTGGCACTGCAAACCAAAGTGTTGCAGCACTAGTAAAAAAAGAGCAAAGCCTGTCCTTTTCCAAGATTTTCATGCCCAAACTCAATCTGTTGATGAATGGATTGATTGATGGATGGATGGATGGTGGGTCTCTGGGTTCTCTGCTCCCTAACAGAAAAGAAAGAAAGAAAGAAGCTTTCACCACAAAAACCCAACCCACCGGTGGACAAGAGGAATTCGACTATTCCAGATAGGGCGACATGGACTGCGAGATGAGGCGACTCTAGTGCCAGTCACTCCGGTGGCCCATTTTTTCTTCCTTTTTCAGGGGAAAAAAAGGAAGGAATTTGGGTAGATCAATCAATGGAGCAGAGAAATTCGATGTTTGTTTGTTTGTTTGTTCAATAGAGGAGAGCAATTCTTGGTCATGTATGCATCTTGCCCACAGTGGAAGGAGTGAGTGTGATTTGGAAGACGCAGGTAGAGGGTGTGCCTTCCAGGTGTTCGATCATTTGCCTCAAAGAATCCATATCCTCTTTTGTGCTACTGTCCAGATGATGTTCAGGTGATGGTTTCGGATGCCAACATGACTTCCTTCTTGTGTATGTCGGAAGAGAAGTGAGGAACCTGAGTTCTTCTTACCACCTTTAATTGTTCGACTTGATCGGCATGCAGGAATAATAACAGAAAGAAAACTCCAAGAGTGCTGACAAGTGACAACCAGGAGATGCAGACATGCAGTTCCTCGATGAATGATTCCTGATGTCCTTGTACAGTTGTCCTCAGCCATTTGGAACAATGGGGATTCTTTGCCGGTATGCTCTATCATCAGGAAGGAACATTTCTGTGAGAAGAGCTGCTACAAGATATGTATGAGGTATGAGGTATCTATCTCCTGCCAATTACTCCAAGCTTTTCCATGTTCCAATAATTGCTTGTTTCTGCGTTCCTGCAGTTAGTTAAAAGAAAAAAAAAGATACTAGAAACCAAAGCTACAGAAGAAGCAATTAGAGGGGCCTAACTCATCATTGTGAGCCTGAACATAATGCAGTGTTAAAGATAAGTCAACAAAGCTTCTTGTCTGAGTCCACTTATGTTCTGAAAATGGCATGGCATGCAGATCAGACAGGACATATTGCTGCAGCACCTATTAATCTGCCTACTCCTTAAGCACTAAGAAAGAAATATATACTAAAGTGTTTATTCCAGTTATTTTTAGGTGGGACAAGATACTCCTGAGTAAACAACCCATCATTACTTTGTGATACAATTAGGCAGGCCAATCATGGAGCTAAATGGAATAGAACTTGCTTAGGGATAGCTTATAGGTTTTCTCTTTGCACCTTAATAGATCTTCACATCCTTGTTAAGAGACGTGCCTTTAAATGATTAAATTAAGGAAGTACATGCAAGTGGTAAAGCTTTTCGGGAATACGCAAGGAGCGCATTTTTTCCATTAAGAGAAATAAAAGTTATTTACATTTGAAAGAGAAAAACAGCACGGGACTGATACAGGACAATAACAGACAATCCTAGGTCTATCTCTCGCGCAAGTGGTAAAGCTGATAGGTGAAAAGATGAGTGTCTTTCTAATAAAGCTTCTCACCTTACATGTAAAGAACAGATACTAAATATTATGTTAACATGGAACGTAAGGAGCTGTCATTGTACAAAGAGGATCAACAGCAAAGTAATATTTCTTTTCTAGTATATAATAAAGTTTGTACAATCCAATAGATTCTTAGGAGCTATTTTTTCTTCAAGTGAGGATTTTGATGCATATATGTAGGCATCATGGAATCATATGCCTTGCTTCCACATTAACTTAAGAGCAGTCTGAATAAGCATAGGTCATCCAACTTGTCAGGTTTAATCGATTTTGGTTAGAAAAGCAAAGATTATCTGTACTAATGCAGAGGGACCAAATGGCCATCTTGAGTTACTTTACCAAGGTCTCATGTGGGCAGAAAAGGCAAAGGTACATTTGGTTTAGTGAAAAGCACTGATGTTGTGGACCTCAATAAAACTCTAATATTCTTTTACTAAGTTTATTTCTTCTTGTTTGAAACTTAACAATTTTTCCTCAGCTTATGGTAAAATGGGCAATGATGAGAAATGTGCTCTCCAGTGTGTCACCACAAGCACTAAGACACTATCTAATGGTTGGAAAACGTCACAGGTAAAATCTAACTCTTTCTTCTCTGAATCAGAACAATAACTTGCTTGACTAATACGCTGATAATAATTCAAAAATAGCTTGGTGAGTATGATATGTTAAGGACTAGTGCATGCTTCGTTTGCAGTCAGATAACCACTTAGTACATGGTAACATCAACGTCTATGTCAATACCTACCGTAACTCGGTAGCTGAAAGAATTACCATCTAATTTTAAGATTTTTTATTTCTGGTGGGAGTACATGCAGCACTATAAATCACTAAATTTTAATTGGCAGGAACCATAGAAGAAGATCCCAGGTTCATCATAATAGAAGCTGGTACATGTTTCATGGACCACATTTAAACTGGAAACACACAGCTCCTAAGTTTTTAGTCTCAGTATCTCCTTTTAAATTTTGCATGATGCAAGAGGGCATCTTGAGAAATATGTTCAAGTTCAGCATAACTGTTACCCAAAAGTGATCTGCCAATTTTCTGCAGAACAAAGAAAGCAGAGCAGGGGAGCATGCTTACTTTCAGGAAAAGATTGAAGTGGACTGAAGTTTCAACTGGAGCTCCAATAGACACCACATTCCCCACCAAGACACAAGGTCAGACAAAACCACACAGAAAATCTTGCAAACGACAAGACATTGCCATCCACATGTCCACTTGTATCTTGTTGATTTTGGTGCTCTTATACTCTTCAGAGTATAATTTTATCAAACTAGTAGACGCTGTAACACATTCATACTTCAAAACTTTTTACTGTTCCTCAACTTAATTCCACACATTTCAAATTTACATGGATTCAGTGTGATTCTGATTTTTTTTCACCAATATGTGTAGATCAAATTTTGCACTTTTACAGGCCTATCATTATTTCATACTTTTAGTTAGACCCCACTGGTGCACTTTAGTACTCACCAAAGGTCTCCCCACAAAGACACCTGCCTTTCTCATCATCTGCCTCCTCAGTTCCCTTTAATTATTCCCTTGCAACTACCTCAACACCATAAAGACCTACAAAGCCCTTCTCTCACACACTCTCACACAATTGCTACATACAAACACTACAGTTTGGGAGAAGAGAATCCATGAAGAGCTCTTCAGTTGCACCAAGGCTGAAACAGGAGAGACAAGATGACTGTAAGTTTCAGGAAGGTGATGTGAACAGCCTTGAGCTTCGGCTTGGCATATCTTCCGACAATGACCAGATCAGTGGTGGTGGTGCTGCTAGTCCATGGCTTGGTGTGGGAGTGCACCCTTGGAGCCTGGCTGCAAGGCAAGGGAAGGCAGCCTTGGAGCAAGCTCACCAGAGGCCTAATGAATGTGCTGTCCAAAGGTTTGGTTACCACTTACAATCTAATAGCTTTTTCCTAGAAATTTCTGCCATGAAAACATTGTGTTGAATTAGGTTGAGATGAAATCTACTCATTGTTCTGAAAATACAACACAACCTTCATATCTCTTTTGAATGTAAGAGATTGCTCTGGTTCAGTCAGGGGTATATTTAAGTTGCTCCTTGTTTTGATGTGATCACAACTTGTTCTGGGAGATCATAAAAACGCATGACAGCAAACAAGAGAACAAAATACTGCCTGAATGTTCAAAGACAGAATTCGCGCGTAAAGGGAGGAGAAGGAGAAAAAAAGTTAAACAGAAATATAAAAGGGAAGCACAAAGATGATCTTTATTTTTTAAAAAAAGAAAATAAAAGGAAAAAGAAACAGAAAGGAAGCAGAAGGGGCCATTAGAGCCATCATCATGCAGAAGTAAGAACCTCCATAACTTTAAAGGTGGATGGAGAAAATGACCTTCCCATTAGTTTCAGCCTGCAGAGTTGCTGTCATGAAATTCTCATCCATTATCTAAAAGATTGAAATTCTCATCAGTATGGAATCTTTGCAGTTAGGGAGGAACAATAACAAATGGTTCATGGTAGCACCTATCATGTATCAAAGTTTATTTCTTGTTTGCTACCATGAACAATTTACTTAATTTATTTACTATCAATGTTTCCAAAAAGGTTTAGCCTCATCATCTCACCAAATTTACTTTATTTACTAACAAAATGTTCAGAGAAAACCGCGCGGCTTCATCAGCTCAGCTGGTGGGATGGCCACCGGTGCGCGCATTCCGCAAGAACCTGTCCACCCCAAAACCTGCAGATGCAGATGACCTGATGAACAAGGTGAAGCTCTGCTCTGATGAGGGCCATGGCTCCAGATGTGCAGCCCAAGAGAGGAGGTCATCATCAACCATGTTTGTGAAGGTGAACCTGGAGGGCTATGCTGTCGGAAGGAAGATCGACCTGAAGGCGCACCGCAGCTATGACTCTCTGTCCCAGGCTCTGCAGAGCATGTTCCATGGCTTCTTGTCAGGTCAAGACCTTTGAGTGCTGGATTGGGAGTGAGCTCCATAGTATTTCTTGCTCAGGTGACTGATCTTGATGCTTGGTTTCAGATGGCATTGCAACTAGAGACAATGAGCTGCAGCAGATGGAGGAGGGCAGCAAGAAGAGGTATGTTCTTGTGTATGAGGATAATGAGGGAGACCGCATGCTCGTCGGCGACGTCCCATGGGAGTACGTTTGTTTGCTTTGAGAAACCTCTCATTTCTGACATTTTTTTCCTTTTATCCAACGAAGAAGATGACATGAAGAGCTGAAAACTGATTGATCGATCTTGCAAATTTTATATATGCAGGCTGTTCATTGCTTCAGTGAAGAGGCTCTACATTGCTCAGGATCCTAGAGTTCATGCGAAGCTACGATAATAGCAATGGTGTGTACCCAGGAATGAGCCACACCTCCACTGCAAGAACATGCAGTTAAATAGTTAATATGTTTGGAGCAGAACATGTACTAATAGGACACAAAAATTAACTGCTTGTTTTTGCAGTTGCAAGCTGATCCTGAAAGCCTGGACCGCAACCGAGGATGAGAAAGATCGATTGCTGCTTTTATCATGAGCAGATGCAAGGAAATATATATATGGCATAGGATGACAGGAGCATCATATTCAAAGAGACGAAGCAGCAATATGTGCTAGTGTTTAGCTGACATGCTGTCCCTGTTCGCTTAATTAGTAGAATGATTAAATTTGCCTTGGTTGTGCTTGAGGGAGCTAGTGCTCATACTAGACTATACTAATTCCCTAAAAAAAAACAACAAAAAAAGTAGACTTCTAGTGCGGTTAATGTAGAAAGTTTTGGTTGTGTATATATTTTTTGACCTGTTGTACTATAATTGAACTGATGGTGCATTAGCTAGTGCTTGTTAATTAGCTTGTACTATGTGTGTGGGTGGATGTAAATGACACTGGGTGCAATAAACTAGTCTTGGGTTCACTACATCTGTGAATTTTCGTTTTGAACCTGACATTATTTGCAAATTCGTTTGATCCTTGGACAATGTTTTATGATATATCAGTAAGTCTCAACGTGAAATGGTGAGCTTGCTCACTTTGTTGCTAATTTCAATCTCCAAATTGCCAAATTTTAATAGCGTTGGATGTATTTAGTTTGATATCTTTCGAAAAATTTGGTAGTGTTTTTTGAAGAAGTCCGTATTTCTACCGAAAAGTAGTTACAAAAGTAGTCTTGCATAAGTTGTTGACGTTGCTTCCGGAGAAGTAGTTAGTTTTCAGAACAGAGCGAGAAAGAGAGAAAGAGAGGTAGGCACCGTAAAAGAAGCCCATGTTCCCACTCTTCTTTCCCCCATACCTACCAACTAGTGGGTTGAGGGCCTCGGTATCTCTATTTGAAAAGAGAGATATCTACACCAAGAAATATGTGATCGTTCGAAACTAGGATGTTTACCCACCGAAAATTGGTATATACTCCTTCCGCTTCAACTTATAAGACGTTTTGACTTTGGTCAAAGTCAAATTACTTTAAATTTGACCAAGTCTATACCTACCTAATTAAAAAATAAATAAGGCTTCCGAAAATTCTTTTTATCCGTCGTTTTTTTCTTCTGCAACGTAGTTTTTTGTCTGGTTTTTTTCCTTCCGATCGGTTTTTTCTCCGCATGCGGTTTCTCTTTGGCCCCGGTTTTTTTCGTCCGATTTTTCTCTTAGTGGGTCGCAATTTTTTTTTGTTGCGGTATTTTTGTGGGCCTGGTTTTTTCCCACCGTGGTTTCCGATCATTTTTTCTTGGTGCACAAGGAAGGATTGAATCCCAAATAGAGGTACCTAATTTTTATCTTTACCTTTTATTAAAATTAAAGATGATTCCGTATTCATCTTAATTTTCATCCGTCATCTGTGTTAGACACGTATAAAACCAAATTGGACCGGAAAAAACAATCAACTAGCAACACGACCAAAAAAACCAAATCGAACCAAAAAAAAGGTCCACCAGCGACCCAGACAAAAACTACTAGATCGGACAGAAAAAAACTCAGCGACTTGGATCATAGCAGAAAAACCATGTGTATTATTAAAAAAAATCAACCATGTGTATTATTAGAAGAAAATCCAGATCAGACGGAAAAAAATGAGCGACCCGGATCAGACAAAAAAAACCATGTGTATTATTAAAAAACTAGATCGGGCCAAAAAACTCGGCAAAAACCATGTGTATTATTAGAAGAAAAACTACATTGGACCGGAAAAAAATGAGTGACCCAGATCAGACCCGGAGGTCGCCGTTGTCGTTTCTCTCTCTTACCATGTTGTCAGTCGCGTTTCTGCTTTTCTGGTTTTCTTCGATATCAATGTCCACCATCAATTGGTCAGTCCAATTGTAGGACACATCCTACCACAATCCTCATCGCCGTTTGATCGTCAGACCATCCACGCTCATCTTGAGTATTATGAGAACATGAGTACATCAATATTCAATACTGGTTTTTATCCATCATAATTATCATTAAAATTTCTAATCAATACTTAGCCTAAGAAAAAAAATTATCCGTAGCGAAGCACAGGTATTTTGCTAGTTTGTCGAAATAAGTAGTAATATTTTCAATCCAAGACAAAATTATTATGGAAATATATTCAATTATTGATTTGATGAAACTAATTTAATATTATAAATATTACTATATTTATTTACCTATAAACATAGTCAAAATGTCTTATAACCTACGTTGTTTCAGGTTATAAGACTTTGTAGCATTACTCATATTCATACAAAATGTTATTACTCCTTCGTCTTGATGGATCGGTCAGGATCGTCTCGCTTAGATCCAACGTCCCAGATTATCCCAACCTCCCTCCCACGGTCCCACCCAGATCCTCCACCTTCCCGCATCCATCTCCCTCATCACGCCGACGCCGCAGCCTCTCCCCAACCCTAACCCTAATCTCCTCCCTCGCCGCCCCCGATCAGCGCAGCGCCGCGCCGCGCCGCGGGAGGAAAAGGAGGAACGCCTTGCCGCAAGACCACCGACCGTCGATTCCACGCCGCTCTTCTCCGCTTTCTCCGCCACCCCCGCCAGGGAGAAGACTCCGCCCTCCGCCATCAGCAACAACGTCGTCTTGATCTTCATCCGATTGGATTGGAGGTCAGCTCTCACAGCAAGGCTCTCTATTGCTTTCCTTAGGCATCATGATATGTTGCTTGCTCTGTGCTGGTTATATACTAATTCATTGGATTCATAATTTTGATGAAGATTGGATTGAAGCCTTCAAAAGAACGGCAAATCCTGAAAAATATAATATAGGTTTGATGGTAGGCTCTTAATTTAAAGTTTTAGGGTTGTTTTTCTTACCATACATTGTTGGATGGATGTAATGCTTTATGCTTATGGTACAGTACAGTATACTTTATGAAATTTAATATGGCAGTGAAGTTACACATACAGTACACCAAATCTACCATAAAAAAGCAGATTGTGAAATTTAATATGGCAGTCAAGTTACTGATGGAAACATCCAAACTGAATGTTTTTTTTTTTGCTATAAAGTTATTTTTGTTTTTTTTTTGGCTACTCGGCATGTGTACGTAGCTAAATTTAGCATGCTGCATTTAGGAGGCAAGCAATTTTTTTAACTCTTCCTGATTTGGTTTCATTTCATTTAGGTGGGGCCTGCGTGGTCCTTCACCTCCCAGCGTGAGGGCACCAGGAGAGGAAGGAGAAGGTACCCTACTTTCAACCCTAGAAAATAATTTCGTTTTCGAAATCTCAGGAATTGGATCGATGAATAAATTTAGGAGCGGCGACCGGCGAGCGAGTGATGATGATTAGGGCTGGATATCGAGCCAACTCGGCTCGCTCCAGCTTGTTAGGATAACGAGCTGGCTCGGCTCGGCTCGTTATCCTAATGAGCTAAAAGGCTAGCTTGGCTCGTTTGAAAGCTCGAGCTAGCTCGTTTAGCTCGCGAGCCAGAGCAATAGAACAAGGGATGAGCTTGAGCATAGAAAAAACATAGCAAATCTTGGCATCATCAGCATCACTTCATCACATAGCAAGCACGCAAGCATCACCATCACTTCATCAAGCAAGAAGTCAAGAACATATAAAGTCAACTAGAAGCAAAAGGGGATGTTGCCGATGGAGTCGCGCAGCAGGGCCGACCAGTTTGCTTGACCCTGGCGAGGCTTGCTCGTCGTCGATGCCATCCATGCTAATTAACGCCCTCCTCCATCTGGTGACCTCTTGTTCGTTGCCTGCTGCGGCCCACCATCCTTCGGCGATGGTGGGTGACGGTGGCGGCACGCTGGGCTCTATGAGAAAGACGCCGGGGCCGCTCTGAGACGTCGGCGATGGGAGCGGCTGCTGCAAGCATCTTGGGTGGTGCTGCTGCGAGAGTTTCCAGCGAGAGTGGTGGCTCATTTGGACTGAACCGAACCCAACGAATCAATCCCCTTCTACAACAAGATGACGACCTGGCGTGGAGAAAGGATAAGGTTGGGGGAAAGGATAAGGTCGTGGACGATGAGTGGCGCTGCGGACGCACAGCGCTCGCTGCTGGCGGAGGTGGATTAGCAACTGGCAAGGGCGGGAAAGGATAAGGCCGTGGACGATGAGCGGCGCCGCGGACGCACAGCGCTCGCTGCTGGCGGAGGTGGATTAGCGACTGGCAAGGGGCGCACCGCGCGCGCGATGGTGGCGGTGGAGCGGTGGAGTGAAAAGGAGAGGTCGAGAGGCACCAGACAGCTAGGGTTACTGTGTTAGCAGCATTTCTTTATGTGCCTATCCGCCTATGGGCTTGGTGGCTTTGTGGGTTGGTCACGTGTGGTCTACTGCTGCTGGGTTATCAAAGCTCATTACGGCTCGCGAGCAGCTTGCGAGCCAGCTCGAGCTGGCTCGTTATCTCTAACGAGTTAAAAGGCTAGCTCGGCTCGTTAGGAAAATGAAACAAGCCAAGTCGAGCCGAGCTTGTCACGAGTCGAGCGAGCTAACGAGCCACGAGCTTTTCGTCCAATCCTAATGATGATGCTGTAGTCCAGTTCCAACCTCGAATTATCCTTTTTTTTTCTCCGTATTCTGTCCCAAAACACCAAAATCCATGGTTCAAATCACCTAACCAACCTTTGGTTTATCTGGTCGATCCCTCGAGGTTCCTCCACTTGCTCCCCGCTATCAAGGTTTCTGGAAATCCATTCTGACTTTGATTTTTTTTCTCTGTCTGATGATGCTGTTGGTGATTCCTTGGATTGGTTGAGAGTTATTCTGTTCCGGTCTGAATCCTAATCTCCCAGCAATCCAATCCGTACAGTTCGTTGCGGGTTAGTCCAATTCCTGCGTTACAGAGCATTAATTGGAGTTAATTTCTAAGAAAAAATTTGGGGGAAGTTAGATCCACCCCCCATCCTCTCCCCTTCTTGGTTTGCTTATACTACTCACCTAAGGTTTACTTACTTAGTATTACTCATGGAATCCACTCTACTTGTTAAAAAATTGCAGTGTGTACTTCTCTGCTGGCCTGTGTGGTGAGGTGATAGCTAAACTAATAGGAAGATGAAGCGCAAGCGTGGGCGTAAGATGGGCAAGAAGGGCAAGTTGAAAGCTTCCATCACAGCGGATGCTTCTCCAATGTCCCCGTCCAGCCCGAGCACCGTGGATGCTTCCTCAAAGTCCCCCTCCAGCCCAAGCACAGAGGAGAACGGCACCAGCCCAGCGCATCATCAGGCAGATAATGCGCCTGTTATTGCTCCGCCACCAGTGCCTGAACCAGCACCTCCTGAGCCGGAGAAGCCAGCCGTGTCTACTGACGTACAGAATGCTAAGCCAAAAGTCTATAGCCGAGTCAGGTTGAAGTTCAAATCTGCCAAAGTGTTGGAGACGCACCAGGGTCCTTCAGAAGCAAAAGCACCTGTTGATGGTGGTGGTGGTAAACCTGCAAGTGCTGCTCCTGAAGCGAGCAAAGAAGTTGCGGAGAAGGCTATTGTATCACCAGACGGACAGAAAGATGCGCAGGCAGCAGAATTGAGTGGTTCTGATAAGGATAAGATGGCAAGAAAAGTAGCAAGCATAAATATCAAGTCTGTAGGATTATCTTCGGTAGAAGATAAAAATCAGGACAGGAAAGCTGATTCAGTCAGTGAACCTCTTCCAAGCAAGCAGGAAACCGTATTGGAAAATGTAGAAAGCGAGACTGCATTGGAGCCGAGAAGCTCACAAGAGTTGGAGGTAAAGCAGGCTACGCCAGAACGTCAGCGAGATGACAGAGAGCTAACTGCTGCACTTGAAGTGAGTATAAATTTGGCACATCTTTATGTTTGGTCTTTTTATTGTGCAAACATGACATGGTAAAGATCTACAAATACATGGAAGTTACACAGTTAATTTCCTTGATCTTGCTGCCAGGCTATTAAGAAAGTCATGAAGATGGATGCAGCTGAGCCGTTCAACACACCGGTGGACCCTGTTGCTCTAGGAATACCTGTGAGTATTTTTATTTGGTATTGCTAGGTGTAATGGTTTTCTTCCTTTGAAATGATAACCTTTTGGTATCTTTATAAATTTTGATCTTGAAAACTTGCTTCTCGTAAATTTTGGTGTAGTATTCATTGCTTCCAACGAACAGGTTCATATAGATATATGTTAATGTCCGCTAGATATGTAATCATTACTGTTGTTCCGGGTAGGGAAAGAACCGATTCCATGGAGGGGGTAACTCTATAATCAGTGGCTTGCCTTCCTTATCTGATATCTCTAATTGTTATGTTTGAATAGCACATTCCATTTCTCCGTTCTGTAGCTAAATTTTACAACTCATAGGCTATACCTTGCCAGATGGGTCATCTTGCTTGCAAGATGAGTTCTGCACTCCAGTTCATTTTGTTGTTTCATGAACATAGTTGAGAGAGTATGAAACAATCATCACAAATAAAATTTGTTTGCAAGCTCTGTAGATTTTTGTAATAGCATGTCTCATGTTTGTTCTATTACCGTAGTAAATTTATATGCTCTTAAATCTACTGGTACTGGATTTTTTTTCACTTTATTAGTCTTCCAACTTTTGTTTATTTGCCATTTACAGTTAGCAAAATTTGCAGGATTATTTTGATATTATTGATACTCCTATGGATTTTGGCACAATATGTCAAAATCTAGAACGTGGTGATAAGTATATGAACTCGGAGGATGTGTATAAGGACGTGCAATTTATATGGGATAATTGTACCAAGTACAACAGTAAAGGTGATTACATTATAGAGCTTATGAAACGGGTGAAGAAGGGCTTCATGAAAAACTGGCTGGCAGCAGGCTTGTATTCTGATGCGCAGGAGAATGGTAAGTATTGCTCAATTGGCCATAGTTCATTCTTTTGTTCAATATCGTTTTCTTCTTTTTTTCCTTGATGTCCTATAATCTCCGCTGTCAAAACTTCCTAGCTCTTGGGTTTAAATTGCCACCAGTTAGCTATTAGATCACCAAAGATTCCTTTATATAATTCTAATTTTATTTGGACGTATTATTGTGAAGCTATGAAAAGTAATGGTCAACCTCTTATGATGGAGACCATAGAATAAAAAAGAGAGAGGGAGTAACTTGAATATGAGCTCTTGTCACTAGTACCTGTTTTAATTAGTAAGTTCTGTATTCTGTAAAATATAAATGATTTAATACTGCAATATTTATTTTATCATTGATTTATTCAGTCTGTATGGAAGAAATACAAATCTGGTTTTCTGTTCTACCATGGACTCATTTACTACATAACACAGTCAAATAAGAATAATCTTAAGGTATAATAATGCCATTGTGCCGCCAACTTTTCACATTTCGTGGTGGTGGGTGTTAAACAGTTCTGTACACATAACAGGATGTCCATTTTGGGCAACTATATAGTTCACTACCTGTATGAATGCATGCGTTCATGTTTATGATGTGTTTTATCCAAACAAAAATATAGGTGGCAATGATAACACAGGCGATGAGGATGTCAAAGGTTCAAAAGGCAAGTCTAAGCAAAAACGGCGGCGCCTAGGGTATGCAATTTATCTTCTGACAGCCGCATGTGCAAGTTTCTTTTGATTGCTTTATTCAAGAAGCTAAACCATCACGTGCTTTCAAATTTGACGGGGCATTCATTTCAGCAATCAAATCTATTAGTAGAAATTTAAAACATTGTGGAGTACTGTTTAGATTCGAAAGGGGTTAAATTCAACAAAACATGATAATGCGTTGGAACAAAAATGATAATACTAAGACATAGTTGTGTGCTATGCATACTAAGACTTACTTAAGTGCTGATATTGACCTTTTGTTTGTTTTTAATTTATTCTTGTTATCGGAGTTGCATGTTTCGTTTTTTGGAAAGCGTAAATCTACCTAGCAGAACCATGCCTCTTCCATTTTAATCTTTTACAGCTCTTAAGGGGCTATTGATGGTATTTCATTTGCAACTCAGAGTAAAGTGATATCACTGTAACTCTAGGAGCACATGTTTTTTCACTTAAATATTCCAGTCAGATTAAGGTTATTATAGCAAGATTATTTTCCACTGACTTCTAGTGAATACAAAAGACAGTAGCCTAATCTGTTGAAAAATCTGTGGTTGTCCTTGTTTTCTTACATGATAATATGATATGTTTAAATACAGGAATGATCGACACAAAAATGACTGTGCATGTGCTGTTTGTCAAGTTACACGCCGCAAAAAGGAAAAGGATGAAATCTTGGCTGTCATTGAAAACGATACAGCTGCAGTGAATAGTAACATTTCTGACCAGCAAATCATGGAGGTTAGAATTGTCATCCAAATCTTTGTTCTACTGTGCATTTCGTTTATGCACCTTGTCTATTTGAAACATTTAGTGTACACAGATTTTTTTTCTCCATCTTGATGTTACCTTTCAATTGGAGTGATATCTTGTCTATTTGAAGTATTTAATGTACATTGGCTTTATTTCTCCATCTTGATGTTCAATACCATGAAAGTTTTATCTCATTTGTCTGCATGTACATATTGAAGTATTGCTCATTACATTCAGCAGATGCCTGCTACACACTACATTTGTTTTAAGTTCTCCAGGTGTTATTGTAAAGTTGTTTTTCCAGCCATGCAGATCATCTTCACCTTGAACTAACTTATGCTTCACATAACAGGTAGACTCAGGCATTAATAACGCTGGTAGTCATGACACTACCTCTAGTCAGGAGCAACCACCACAAACTGATATGTACAGAAGAACAGTGGTAGCAGATGATTCAGGGACTCTGATAGAAAATCATGTGAAATTCTTCAACAACCAGCCACTGCCACATGATTATGAGGATGAAGGCTCCAGACCATACTTTGACGAAAAAGAAGAGGTAGACTATACGGATTTGATCAGTCAGGAGGAACATACATCCAGTCAGCCCAATGATGGCTCCGAAATTGCACAACACCAACATAAGGTAATTTTGGACAGAATATCAGTGCTGTTTCAATATTACCATGTATGGTATGACATTATTTGACAATTAGAATAGGATCAACAGTGGAAAAAAAAGGTTCCTAATAGCTCCTGTGATTCAGTGGCTGGTTTGTCCAGCATGCTCTTTAGGCTTTATATTTGTAATGAGTAATGTGTTGGAGTGTTGCACGGGTTGATGCATAATTTGAGTCCATTTCATCATCAAGCCATATTGATTGCTCTTCTGTTACCTGTGCACTCTGCTTTCAGTCACACTCACATGCGCTCCTGGTATGCCTGCACATCGTGTTCTTTTTGTTTGCTAATACCCATATATACCATCATAGTAGGCTGGAAAACCATGGTGCATAGCATACCTAGAAATTCTAAACATTGGTTTTATTTCATTTCGTCACAGGAGCCAACAGAAACAAGCCAGGAGATTGAAATGGAGGATTATCCCATACAGAAGGAGAACCAATCATTCTTGCAACTCTGCGCACGGCTTTTCCCCAGCAACCAGAGTTCTGTTTTCAGGGGACGCCATTCTCTGTTCCGACAGCAACAGCGGCAGGTTTCAATGAAGGGAAGCCCTCTGCATGCGGCCATAACAGCGATAATGAAACGGTAGGAGTTTTGTCCCTCCAATGGCTGCTTAGCAGCAGCCGTTTCGTGTAAAGGAAGCTCAAGGCAGCGTTGTGACTTTGGGAAAGAAAGCTGTACCCTGAAGTCACGGGAGCTGGTTGGAATAAAACAGGTTAGTTGAAACATATCTTTGAGCTCAGAGGCTATAGCTTGATTTAGGTACGAAATTAGTTGGGAGATACCTGTCTATTGTATGACAATTATCTATGTGTAAGGCTGTAAGCTTCATATTTGTATCAAGATAATTGTGATAGTCACATGTTGCCACATTGCTTACCGCGCTGGAGTAGGGTTGTACTTGAACCTTATAATTGTATTGTTGGTGTCAAAAGATTTAATTAGTATTTGGGCCGATTCTTCTTCTGTCCATCCAACCTGCCGCCTTACCTGAATTGACTGCTCAGACTCGAACAGAAATTCGATTGGGTTAGCATAATTGAGGATTGAATATTGTCAATGAGTATCTGTACATTCTCCCAATCAGTTGGTCCTAAAACTGTCGCCTGCTCCCCTGGATTTTGGATGTCTTCCTCAACATGGAAATGCATAGGAATAATTTTCATGGATGGGTCTACACGAACTGCAACGTTTCTTATTTTCATAGGTCAATAGCATCCTTTGAAGGTGCCAGCAATTGTTTGCAGCTTCAGCTACCGTTTTCCCAGGCAAGCAAGCCGTTGGGTTCTTGCTCATTGCCTTGGGGCCTAGGCAAAGTGCTTGTTTGGATTGTTTTGGCAAGATTGGATAGGTTTTGCTAGCTTTTGGTTTGCCACCAAAGGGATGTGCTAAATTTTTGGCAAGGTTTTGTTTGATTCGCTACCCATGGAGTATGCCAAACCAAATAATTTGGCATTAGCCAAAATTTCAAACCAAAACGGATTGTCATTTTGTGGTGATGCCGATTGTTTGGCACGGTCAAGTAAAGATTCCCTACAATCGTGAAAGCAGCAGTGCGCAGATGATGGTTTCTCAGATTAGATTTAACTAGAAACATTGCCCGTGCGTTGCAACGGGAAGAAAAGACGAGAAAATTGAGGAAAAGTTGAGAAATACTTATATTATGTAATTAATTGAAATATCAATTTTCTGGAATATTTAGGTATTTTTTAAGTAGGTAGGTGTATAATTAAATTAATTTATAAGTAAAGTAACGCACGGGAAGAAAAGACGAGAAAATTGAGGAAAAGTTGAGAAATACTTATATTATGTAATTAATTGAAATATCAATTTCCTGGAATATTTAGGTATTTTTAAGTAGGTAGGTGTATAATTAAATTAATTTATAAGTAAAGTGAGTGTGAGAAATAAAATGATATGGTGAATTTAATTTTTATTAAATTAAGCATGATTATTAATACTCTTTGAAATTTTGTGGAATTTTAAGAGCTTAATTGCTAATTTTGATCATACAAACATCATTTCAGTATCTATTTAAATAAAAATCCTCATTTCTCTCTGGGCTATTTTCAGTCTATTTTCTTTCTCAGACCGCAACTTAAGTCTAGTTAGCCTCCCCCAACTCCTCCTTTCACTACGTTGAGTTGGACCCGCCAGCCTACCAGCGGCCCATCAAGCGTGCGCGAGGCGGTCCGGCACGGACCGGTGGTGGCGAGGGTGGTGGAGGAGGGGAGAGGAAGGCGACGGCTCGGAGGTGGAGTGCGGCGGTGGCGCGCGAGGTCGCCGAGGGCACCACCTCGCCGAGGTCTAGGAGAGGAAAGAAGAGAGGGAGAGAGAAGAGAGGAGAGAAGATGAGGAAGAAGAGAGAAGAAGGGAGGTGAGACTGACATGTGGGGCCCACGTGGGCCCCGCTATTTTTAATTATTCTTTGTGTGTAGCTAACATGTGGGGCCACGGTTTTTTTTTGATATGAATTGCCACGTAAGCGCCACGTGGGATGAAGAACAAGTCAAACCAGCCACGTTGGCGCTACGTCAACCAAAACCGCCATTCAAACCGCCGAGGGACCTCGTTTGAACCGGTTTTGATATTTTAGGGACCGGTTGTATCTGGTTTTAGTGTTTAAGGACGAAAATAGGATTCGGTGTAAAGTTAAGGGACCACCAGTGAACTTATTCTGTTTTCAGCCCAACACCGCCCGGCCCAAGTCTCCTCTCTTTCCCTTCTAAATCCAGGCGGCCTAATTCTTTCCAGGCCAGCTCGGCCTGCTATCCTTCTCCACTTTCGGCACATTTGGTTCTCTCCTTCTCCCCTTGCTTTGGGGGCTGTTTAGATTGATGTCATTTTCAACCATACCATTTTTTTTTGGTAAAATTGTCAAAAAAAATATCTACGTTTAGTTTGTTGCCAAATTTGGTAAATACATAAGAAATCCTGCCAAAATTTTAGCAATATTGCCATCTTGCCAAGGTTTATTTTGGCTGCAATCTGAACAGGCCCTTGAACCAGCCAGGATGGCCCAACGTGCTTGGCCAGCTGATGCCTGCACGCCGCTATCGTTCAATCGGAGAAGCGTTTTGACCGAAATTTACGAATTTTTCGATTGGAAAAGCGTTTTGACGGACGACAAAATTTATGTGACATTGGAAAATTACGAATCATTTAATTAGTTAATATTTTACAACTGAAAGCAATTTTATGAGTCAAATTGTAAACGTACATGCCATTATTAATTATTAACTTAAGGTGCCTTAATACTTTGTTAGTAACTCGGCATATTCGGTTCTTTCCTGATTCTATGCCACCATTTGAACTTTATATTTCGTACGGTGCCTTCCCATTAGGGGTGAAAACGGGTCGATTGGGTTGGATCTCACCCTTCCCATATCCTAACCCACATTTTATAATCGGAATCGGGTCGGAAATAGATAGTGTCGAATACGGATACAAACTTGGATAATATTGGACAAAAATACAGAACGAATACGTACCAAAGCGGATACGTACACTATCGGTTACAAATATTTATTCTGATATCAAGTCAAAGCAACAATCACATATACCACATAGGCAATAACCATTCAACAATTTCATATATCTAATATGACTATTAGACCATTAGGACTGTAGGAAACAAATAGGTACAATACCTCACAATTGAAATCATTTCATATATGACGTACAACTGAATATTAGGTCATCAAGCTCAATATATCTCATAGTTGAGTCACAATATTAGTATATCACCCCATACAAGTTATCAATAAGCATCATTCATAGGACCACATAGGCACATACTAATAGACATCATTTAATTATCACCAATTCATCGTAACAGTAGTACCTCGTATTAGTACTAATACATATTACCAAAAAGTAGCTCAAAAAATCATATTCAGGGATACAATCAAGCCAAAAGATAAATTTATATGATGGTTTGTTGGGCCTGGTGGTGAATGGTTAGTGGACTGATGATGATTGGCCTTTTTGGCTAGGCTTGTAGCAAATAATACGGGTAATATCCATATATTTATCTGGGTAATACTCATATTTTTTACCGGATAATTCGTATCCGTCTGATACTACGTTTCTGAACCTGATCTCATATCCGCCAAAAAAGACCCATATTCGGACCTGATATATGTGAAAAGTCCTGGGTACCCCGAATTTGTTCCAAAATAATGTGGCCGGGCGAGCGGTCGGGAAATACCCACCCCTTTTTCGCCCCTACTTCCCATCCTAGCTGCACGCAGGGGTAATGCCTAGTTACTTATTTTTGTGCAGCTGGTTAATTAGATCAGGGAAAAATTGATTTACACAACTGAAAGAATTTTCTTCTGGTGGTGTTTTTTTGGTAAGCAGAGTAAAGAAAAAAAAACATTGACAGAAGAGTGAGTACCCATTCAGCAATGCACAATTTAATCTTAATAGAAATTAAATCTCTCAATTTACAATATAGCATATCCAAACATGTGCATAGCATAGCCGCTATATGCTCAACCAGGGGCTGAAGTGTGCAATCGTGCAACCCAAACAATCGGCCAGTAAAGTTGAGAGAAGTTGAAAAAAAAATTGAGAGACCGGCCCTGAGCGCGTAGGTGCAGGGATGCACATTTGATACCATAAATGTTATCTTGTTTTTCTATCAATTTGATCAAACTTGGGTGTTAACAACCAAATTTGATAAGTTAAGCAGATCTCTCAGGCCTCGTGTTTTCTGTCAACATTGGGATATTAATTTGACTTATGACAACATAATGCATGTGTGTGATTGCCCTATATATATATCAACATAATGCATGGGCATATATACTGATTATAGCAACTTGAAGCTAGCAATCAAAGTGGCCGAGAGTAAGAAAGTGCGAGGGTGGGATCGCGCTCCTCTGACGTTACGTCAGTGACAAAGTCCCACATGTCAGTGACAAAGTCCCTCTGACTTTACGTCAGAGGAGACTCATCCGCGAGGGTGATATGATCAGCTTGCGCCATGCATGTTTCACGTTTCTGTTTTTGTCCTTCCTCAAACCATTCTAATTAATTAATTAAGAAAATTAAGTTTGGAAAACGCTTTATACCGAACGCCTCATTTACCCCACGAACGAACCCTGTGTCTAGTTGTTTCTTTTCATTCTTTCCTCCTCTCTTTAAATATTTTTTTCTTCTAAATTCCTTATCTGATCTACGAACCGATCACATTGTTGCATTCATTGTAATTAAATCTTTACAACAAGATGTCATATGATTATATTATGTCAAAAGAAAAACATATGTTTCAAACCGTTAAAACTAAATGTTTCATACGTGATAGTGATATGTTTCAATATGCGTCTTCAGCGTGCATCATAAAATTCCTGAAACTACATGCTACCACTCTCTCTCCACCTCATCCATGCACACATGCATGTATTTTAGCAAGCTTCAAAATGATTTTTCTCTTAAATTATTTATTCAATCTATGATCCGATCACACCATTGTATTCGTTTTAATTAAATCTTTACAACAAGATATCACATGATTATATTTTGTTAAAATAAAAACACATGTTTCAATCCGTTAATACTTGTTGTTTCATACGTTACATCGACATGTTTCAACATGTATCTTCACCATGTTTCATAAAATATTTAAATGTTTCAGTTGCTTATTTTTCTGTTTCACCGTATATAACTTAATGTTTCACTTGTTGGTCAACTGCAACATTTGAGTGTTCGATTTTTTTTTCGGCATCGGACGTCCGATGGGTAGCTTCCTCCATTAAGTTTGATCAAGTTCATATATAGAAAAAATATTTATATATGGGATCAAATGAGCCTCATTAGATTCATTTCCAGCACATGCATATATAGTGGCAACCTTTGGTAGCAGTAGCATTACCATGTCAGGCTTCAATTTCCAGCCCGATTCTGACTGACATTTCGAATGGGTTTTTGAGAATTTAAATTTTGAAAAATCAAAATCTAACTGAATTTTGATTGAAATTTGTCGGAAAAAGGGTCACACTGTTAGGCATCCGACACTCGATCAGAACATTTGCCGCATGCCTCCGGTTTCTGGTTTCTTCTCCAACTTGCTAATTTTGATTAGAAGTTGGATTCCGAAAACGATATCGGAAATATCAGATTCGGTAAAGTCAGAAACGAAAACGAAATACGGAAACATTAAATTATAAAAATAGATACTCCCTCCATTTCATAATGTAAGTCATTTTAGCATTTCCCACATTTATATTGATATTAATGAATCTAGATATATATATTTATCTAGATTCATTATCATCAATATGAATGTGAGAAATACTAGAATGACTTACATTGTGAAACTGAGGAAGTATTTAACTTTACATAAATATGTTATATGTATAAATAAATTCAAGATTATACTATATAAACTATAAATTAACTCATTTTAGCCATGCGGTCAAATTAGGAATTTGATTGAAGAGTCAATCAATGTCTAAACTGTGGGTCAAGTAGCGACATTCCTTATAAATATCGATATATTTAGAAATACGGTAATTACCATATCATAAGAAACAAAAATTTCCACAAAATATGGTAAATACAGAAACGATCGGTATAATAACAAAACCATTTCCGTTTCCATTTCCATATTTTTACCATATCCATTTTTTTGTCGACTACTATTTCTATATGGCTCGGTCGGTCGGCCAGGAATTACCATTACCATTTTCACCCCTAGATGAAATGCTGGTTCGGGGAAACTCACCAGATGTTGGGACTTACAACTCGATTACCTCTGCCCTATCCAAGGCTCGAGCAATGGATAAGGCCGCTGAGATCCTTGCCAGTAGGGGCGTGCCTAGGTTATACTACCCGGTGTCACAGGACACCGGGTAGATTATTCAAATCCTATATAAATTACACTATATTAATTAATATATTAGTCAATAATTAGATAATTAGTATGTATTGGACCCCCGGTAACTTTTTTCTGGGTTCACCACTGCTTGCCAGGATGCTTAAGAACAGTGTTACATATGCCTGATTGCATCACGTATACTAGTCTTGTGCATGGATATTGCTAGCTCTTCAGGAAAGCCCAAAGAGGCTATTGAGATTTTCAAAAAGATGTGCAGAGATGGTGTTGAACCGGATGTCGTTACTTAGAGCAAGTATAATAGCAGACTATTAGCCAGCTATAAATATATTTAAATGAGATAAAAGATGAGAGAGAATAGTAGCGGGCTACATATCTGTAGCCAGCTGCAGTACAGACTCCAAAACGCAATGTGTGTATGATATGTGGGACCATATATTAATAGTATAGTAAGCAACTATTATATGAATTGGCTATTAGATTGGCTATATATGAATTGGAGCTAGTAGTGGGCTATACTATTATGCTCTTATACCACGCTGATGGACTATTTATGCAACAAGTTAAAATACATTCCAAGACCTCTTTTCAAAAAAAAGCATTCCAATAAAACCGAGGCACATTAAGCTAGGGAGGCTTACTAGTGGCTCGACTCTAAAAACGGAGAATTTGTTGCATGACATTCCGTCTAATGTCTGAATATGTTGTAGTGGCAAGGGAAAGAAACAACCCTACAGAGAAATTAATTCTGAATATGTTGAACCATGGAATATTTGAACTACGTACCTAATAATGCAGGACACTGAAAAGGGGCGAGGAGATCGATCAGTACTCTCCTACTTTGTAGGAATGGCAAAGTTCAGACAATTCAATTATGAAGACTGCAGTAGTAAATCACAAGGAGAGAGCCATGCATGCATGCTAGTCTCATTGATTCATCTCACTCTGAAATTGATCGATGCACTCATTAAGAGTACATATAAACAGTGATGGAATCACTAGTAAGGTGCCATAGTAAAAATACCAACCAAACACTCTTGTCCAATGCATATATATAAAGGAAGAACAAGGTAAACCACAGGGACAGAGCCATGCACGATATATAGTCTGATGATTCATCTAGCTCAGTCTGAAATGCAGTCATTGAGAGTACACAAGAGTACTAGAGTGATCAAATCACTAGTAAGGTGACATACCAATTACCAAACACTCTTAATGTCTGCATCAAACACCAGGGCATGCAGGTGCAGCCGAGCATAGTAAGAACAGTGGAGAGTTACTCTTGTTTGATCACTCCTGGCTGCGCTTGTTGAGCCTAGCTCGTCGTAGATGCGTTCAGCTGCCGTGACTAAAGAGTCCAAACGACGAGCCGCCTTAGACCTAATTCTACGGGACCGCACCATTTCTGCATAAGCCCTCAAGCAAGACAACTTCCGGAATATACCTTTATATTTAGGCGCATCATCCACCAACTTTGAATAGTCATCTCCAAAAAGCTGATCCATGTGGCACATTAATTCAATTGAATGACAAATTAATTTCATACCCAGCAACAAGCAGCTGGCAAAATAAATATTTGCAAACTATAAATAAATATTATTATGATTTTACCTCGGGAAGGTTCCCAACCAACTTGTATTCACCATTAGGGTAACATAACATCATGATAGCAGTTGCAAGTTTCAGCAGGTCCCAATCCTCAGCGTTGATACCAGATATCTTCTTCAGGTGCTTACCAGCATAGCGCATGCTCTCACCATGTTTCCTCACATGATAGTCAGTCTCGTACAAGAGGCCCGTCGCCTCAATGATACTTCTAGTAACCTGGATTATCGATGCAAGGAACATCTCAATTATATTGCTACACACATATATCGATCATTAATTCAAAAAAGAGCAGATTAATCAACCGTAAAATTCTGTAAAAAGTGTCCAAAATAAGTAGTAAAAATTTAAGGGCTAGTTCCCAAGTGCAGGTAGTTATCAAGAAAGCAGAAAAGCATGTTACGTTGGGAAACAAGCTAGGTAATGAGCTCGCTCACTCACCATCTCTGGTTTGAGATCACCGAAGCCATACTTATTCAGGGTAAATTTCATCCCTTCACACATCGGGAGGCAATCCTCTTTACTCAGCTCTGATTTTCCATCAGGTACTAAATGTTCCTTTAGATTATTCAGGCCCCACATCAACTCCATCACTTCAGCATTCCATAGGCACTTTATTCCCTGAAATAATCACAGGGGAAAAAAATCAGTTGTAAGAATTGTTCACATATGTAATTAAGCAGACAAGGAAACGCATGCAGCACTAACCAAGTTACTTTGAATGATAGTTACATATTCTTGCTTTCCAACTGCTAGTGTCTGGCCAGGACAGATAAACCTCCGGATCATGCCTGCAAGCTGTTCGCTAACACCAGTATCAAGGCTAAGGGCGCTGGCCTTGTCCTCGAAAGCTTGAAAGTCTTTCAGCCAAACAGGATGCTACAAAAACGAACAGCAACAAGCATGTTAATGGAAGAAGAAACGTACAGATCAATTATCATGCCATATGCCTCAATCTTGACTGCAAGGGGAGTAATTAAGTTGTAGCCTGTTCAAGTCGTCAATAATTGCAGTGCAGCTCAGTATAAGCTGATCGATGTGCTAAGCTAATGGGAAGTGGACTGTCCCTCGACTAAAAATTTTTTTGATCTTACAAATTCTTTGTATAAAAACTCTTGGGGAGGAAGAACAATCACTCTTTACTATTGTAATTAGTATCATGAGTTTTGTGCAAAAATATACTTGTATAAATATTTACTATAAACAAAACAGTAACATGTACATCGATCTAACATAGATGAAGGTTGAAATCGCGCAAATGCAAGACTTAAATAGGCTAGTATATAAAGAAATAACAATCATCAGAAGATTCAAATCATAATAAGAAAGAGAGAAAGTAGCTAGCTAGGGGGAAGGAATTGATCGAACTAACGTATTGAAGCATAAATTCCATGACAAATTCTCCCCATACATCCTGCACAGCATATATAGATCGAGAATGTAGGGAAGTTAGGTCATACTCAGGAGTATTCAAATTCAACACACAAGTAGCTAGCGAATTACTAACAAGAATAGAATTGAAGTAGGTGCGTGGGTAGCAATTAATACCATGAGGGCATGTGGGCGGAGGAGTTTGATTCCATCATAGCTGAAAAGTGCAAATCCAGTGGGCGTCTCAAACAGTACCAAGATCACTCCACCATTCCCCAGCTGGGCACCTAATTAGTAATTAAATTCGATCGATCCATCCATCAGGCAGCAGCAAAAACAACAAAATTCAAATGTACAGACTACAGTTGGTGGGTGGAACCCAGATCGCCTAATTAAAGTCGGCGTCGCCGGGGGGCGCTCACCTAGACCGAATAACCATCGTCGTCGTCTCGGTCCTCATACTCCTCCTCCTCCACGGCCACCTTCCCCTTTGCAATTGGCTTCTCCTCCATTGATATCACCCGCGACGTACGGCGACGCTGCTTCCCTTCCTTTTATACACTCCCTCATCAACTAGCTAGCTAGGTTTCCAAGACGGACCCAACAGTAGTAGAAGAAGCCCCACGCCACGAGGAAGTCTCGGCCCAAATCTACGGACCTTTACCCGACGTAAAGTTGAGGGATGACAGCTGAACTTATTCCTTTACCCGATAAATAAAAAGTCGGGCTTCAGGCCCAGCAACAGCAAGCGATAGTCTTTTCGACGGTTTCACTTCTCCATATGCATATCGTCACTGGATTATATTCGATGGAGTTTTCAACTTTTCATGCCTCACTCTCTCTCTATATTTTGTGGTATAATTAAGTTTGATTGTTTTCCTCCGATTTCTATGTCATCTTGAAAAATGACTGCATGTGCTGTTTATCAAGTTACACGCCGCAAAAAAGGAAAAGAAAAGAGGATGAAATCTTAGCTACCCTTGATAATGAAACACCTGTAGTGAATGGCAACATTTTTTTACCACCAAATCATGAAGATTAGAATTGTCATCCAAATCTTCTATTCTACTTGTGCATTGCATCCACGCATCTTGTCTATTTGAAACATTTAGTGTACATCAGACTTTATTTCTCCATCTTGATGTTCCCCGTGCACATGTTGAAGTTTTGCTCATTACATTGAGCAGAGATGACTGCTATAAACTACTTTTCCAGGTGTTACTTTTGTTACGTTTCCAGGTGTTACTTTTAAACTCAATAATCATAGTTTTTTTTTCTCACAATTCATTTAGTCGTGGTAGTGGTAGATGTATTTTGTACTTTTTAGGTAGTTTGGACACTTTTTATTCTCAGAATGAGAAGCTTTTTTCCAGCCATCCAGATCATCTTCACCTTCACCTTGAACTAATACCCTGTTTAGTTCGCGAAAAGAAAATTTTTGGTATCACATCGGATGTTTGACCAGATATCGGAATGGGTTTTCGGACACGAATGAAAAAACTAATTTCATAACTCGCCTGGAAACCGCGAGACGAATCTTTTGAGCCTAATTAAGCCATCATTAGCACATGTCCGAATGTCGGAAGGGGTTTTCGGACACGAATGAAAAAACTAATTTCATAACTCGCCTGGAAACCGCGAGACGAATCTTTTGAGCCTAATTAAGACATCATTAGCACATGTGGGTTACTGTAGCACTTATGGCTAATCATGGACTAATTAGGCTCAAAAGATTCGTCTCGCGATTTCCATGCAAACTGTGCAATTAGTTTTTGTTTTTATCTATATTTAATGCTCCATACATATATCCAAAGATTCGATGTGACGCTTTTGGGAAAAAGAATTGGGGAACTAAACCATGCCTAAATTATGCTTAGCTCAATATAGGATTATAGGTCAACTCAGTAGTCATGATATGTACAAAAGGACGGTGCTAGCAGATGATTCAGAGATTCAGATTGAAAAATCCGTAGGCTATACGGATTTGATCAGTCAGGAGTTGCACAACGCCAACATAAGGTAATTTTGGACAGACTATCAGGGCTGTTTCAAATTTTCCATGTATGATTTGACATTATTTGACAATGAGACTAGGATCAACAGTGGCAAGAAAGGTTTAAAAAAAAGGAGATTTGGAAGGAGAGATGTTCCTCCAAATATTTTTTAAGAAGAAATTGTGAGCATGTTGGGATTGAATACGGGATCTCGGGGTTGAAACCACGTACCCTTTGCTATTTTGCTACGGCACTTGCATCTCGCAAGAAAGGTTCCTCAAGAGCTCCTGTTATTCCGTGGTTGATTTATTCAGAATGGTCTTTATTCTTGAAAGCTCAAGAGCTCATGCATAAGCGTCTTATTTGTAACGAGTAATTGCGTTGGAGCGGTGCAAGAATTGATGCATAATTTGAGTCCATTTTATCATCAAGTCATGTTGATTGCTCTTCAGTTACCTGTGCACTCTGCTTCCAGTCACATTCACATGTACTCCTGCTATGCCTATCAGTGCACATCGTGCTGCTTTTGCTTGCTTATTAACAGTACTCATCATAGTAGGCTAAAAAAACCCTTGTTGCATATCTACGTATGTGTCGTTTTTTTAGTTTTCGGCCCGCTCTGTAAATACTTTTATTTTTTCTTAATACGAAGATGCGCCTCTCGCGTATTAAAAAAAAAGCATATCTATGTATCTGTAAAAAAACAAAATATCTGAACTTTGGTCTGATTTCATTTCATCACAGGACTACAGGAGGCAACAAAAAAACAAAGCCCAAGAGATTGAAATGGAAGATTATCCCATCCAAGCAGGAGAACCACTCATTCTTGCAGAGCAGAGTTCTGTTTTCAGGGAACACCATTCTTAATTTGTTCCGTCAACAACAGCAGCAGGTTTCGATGAAGGAAAGCTCATTCTTTTGCATGATAATGAAACAATCTGTATTTTTGTCAGTCCAGTGGCTGCTTATGCTTAGAAACAGTGGTTTCGTGTAGATGAAGCTCAAGGCAGGCAACAGATGTTGTGACTTTGGCAACGAAAGCTGTACCCTGAAGTCATGGGAGCTGGTTGGAATGAATCAGGGTTAGTTGAAAGAAACATTTCTCTGAGCTTCATCATCAGGCTCTCTGCCATGATTTTTAGGTACGAAATTAGTTGGGAGATACCTGTCCATTGTATGGGAATTCTCTTTGTGTACACTTCAATTTTTGTATCAGCCTTGTCTCTAATTTGTGATGATAATTAATCACATGTCGCCACGTTGCGTAGGGTTGTACTGAACCCTACCTTATGTATGATTGATTTTGTTGCTGGTGTCAAAGGATTTAATTAGTATTTGGGCTGATTCTTCTTCTGTCGTTCCAACTGCCACCTTACCTGAATCGCCTGCTCAAGCTCGAACAGAAATTCGATTGGGTAGCATAATTGAGGATTGAATATTGTCAGTGAGTATTTTGTACATTCTCCAATCAGTTGGTCCTAAAACTGTCACCTGCTCCCCTGAATTGTCTTGAAGATCATATAATAATAAGAATGAATGACATATGTTCATATGGACACACGGCAAGTACTTGCAAGCCGTGTCCTTATAATGTACTCCACAGTTTGTCAACTCCTCTGGTGAGGACTCTGCATTTTTTCTCTCAGCTAACGCTGATCATCTGATGCATACCGAGAAAGGTGTACGTTATGTAGACATCATCACGTACGCACTCATGGATCATATTTAGCACACGCTCAATAGATGAAAATTAGCCATAAATCCACCACCTCACTTAAGTATTGAAAGTCTGTCTGCATCCATGTAATTGTCAGTAACAATAGTTAAGGCTCGATTCGTTTCAGCGTTTAGGCTGAAATCTTTTCCAGCATAAAAAAACATTATCACATGATTAATTTAGTATTAATTATTATAAATTTGTAAAATAAATTTATTTGATTTTTAAGAAACTTTTATATAGAAATTTTTTTCATGAAATGTAATATTTATCGGTTTGAGAAACGTGCTAACAGGTTACGATGGAGTAGCTGTTTCAAAAGGATAAAACAAACTCAGCAATAGATGCTCTATCACATACGTGATTTTTTTCAAAAAGGAGAAAGTAGAAATAATACTTTTCCTCTATAGTTCTTGTGAAGTTTCTAATTTCCAAAAGAATCTAAGTTATGCTTAGTCATTCCTTAATCCCACTGAATCAGTTTGCATTCCCTTTTGTTAATCAATAGATATGTTTTATACTGTACATGTAACACGTGTACGGAATTACCGAGGTGATGCTGACGTGAGGATGAAAATGAAGGATAAAAGAGCAAAACTTCTCCAGAATTGCAGCAGCAATATCCAAAAAAGCTTGAAAATTACAGCCGCCCACCAAACCAAAGCAGAGCAAAGCAAAATCACAAATCCACGGAACCCTCTATTGACACTTGAATTTCAACGGACCTAGTCAAGTCTACCGAACCAAACCAAACCAAACCTCAACCTCACCTCATCATCATCTCATCATTATTATAAATTTAATTATTATTATTACTAAGTACTCCAACAACAAAGCATGACACCATATACCAGAGTTCAAATCATGTGCCCACGAATATTGTACGCACGGCACACCAGGGTATGTTTCACTATAATTCTAATCAAGTGTAAACATTTGACGTTGTTTTCCATCCCTTTACCGTGTGTTAGAAACATACTCAAGAATGTCAAGTGTTATGCGCGTTTATAGTTGGGTGTGGGCGTGTCTTCTGTGTAATTAAAAAAACATGAGAATATCACGAACATATAGGTGTACTTTTCAGTAGAATTTTAATGAGATTAGAGTGTAATGTTGGTTTTCATCACGTTTAATGCATGCTATATGGGGTATATTCACGGATGTGTGATCGAAATATTGCATTTGAATTTTGAAGTAGCTTATGTGTATGTGTGTCTACCGTGTAATAGTAAAAGAAAAGGAAAGAAGAAAAACATAAGAGAAGGGAAAAAAAGAATAAAGTAATTATAGTAGTAATAGACTAATAGCACTTACCAGTAAAGCCAACGCGTTCTCTTGGACTTCATCCTCTTAAACCTCCTCCTTTGCTTCCTTCCCTCCATTTTCATCTCCATTTCTTCCATTTCCAAAGCCAAGAAAGAAAGGGAGGAGTAAGTCTCCCCCATGTCGTCTTCTCCTCGCTCCCAATGCCAATGTCTCGCCATGGCGCCCTTGCTCTGACCACCTCCTTCCTCCTCGCGGCCGTCGCCGTCTTCCTTCCCGGGCACGCGGCGGCGCGGCAGTTCTCCACCGTCGCCATCTCCAACTCCCCCGACGCGACGGTCGTGTGCGCGCTCGTCCGCCCCAAGGACGTGCCCGATGATGTCCCCGGCGCCAAGCTGCGGTGCACCTCCATGCCCACCGGCGAGGTCATGTCCTACCCCTCCGCGGACGTCCCCTACAACGCCATCGCCGCCGGCACCGACTTCCTGTGCGGCCTCATGGCGCCCAACGGCGGCCACGCCGCCATGCGCTGGTGGTCCTTCTCCGACGAGGCCGCCGCCAACCGCTCCCGCCCCGTCGGCCGCCGCCTCTACTGGGGCCCTTCCCTCCGCGCCCTCTCCGCCGGTGGCCCTCACGTCTGCGGCCTCTCCGACGCCCACGACCCGACGTGCTGGGAGTGGCCGGGGTTGAGCTTGCCCAAGGGCCTCGACTTCTCCCGCATCGCCCTCGGCCGCGACTTCCTCTGCGGCGTCGTCAAGGGCAACGCCTCCGCCATGACCTGCTTCGGCGGCGGCATGGCGCCGCCCGCGTTCGCCGGGGCTGCTTCCATCGTGGCGGTCGCCGCCGGCCACCGCCACGCCTGCGCCGTCGACGACGACGGCGGCATGTCGTGCTGGGGCGAAGGGTACCCGGACATGCGCCCCGGCGACCTCCCCGCCGACATGAAGTCCATGGCGCTGGGGCGGAACACGACGTGCATCCTCGACGGCGACGACATGGTGCGGTGCTGGGGCGTGGAGGTGCCCGAGGAGTACAGGCGCGCGTCGTTCGTGTCCATCGAGGCCGACGGCGACACCGTCTGCGGCGTCCTCACCACCAACTTCTCCGTCGTGTGCTGGGGCAACGAGAGGTTCCATGGGAGGCACCTCATCTTCAACGACACCATGCCCGGCGCGTGCGCCACCGTCGGCAACTGCTCCTCCAGCTGCGGCTTCGTCCCCGGCTCCGCCGCGCTCTGCGGCAACGGCGGCGGCGAGGGCGGCGAGCAGCTCGTCGTGTGCCAGCCCTGCAAGCTGCCGCTCAACGCGTCCAGGCTCGTCGTCGGGAATGGGACCAGCAAGAATGCGGCGGCGCCGACTGATTCCGGGAAGAACAGGAAGGCCGTCAAGGTCGCGGTCACCGCGGCCTGCGTCGGCGTCGCGGCGCTCGTGGTGGCTGGGCTGGTGTTGTACCTCGCCGTCGTGAGGAAGCGTGGCGGGAAGAAGAACGCCACCGTGCAGCTCGGCGAGTCGTCGACGCTGACCCTCTGCCGCGACTTGGAGGGGGCCGTGATCATGCCGGCGCCGGAGGCATCGCCGCCGCCGCCGCCGCTCGGGTGCGAAGAGTTCACGGTGAAGGAGCTCTCGCGGCTGACGAACGGGTTCGCCGAGGAGAGGAAGATCGGGAGCGGCAGCTTCGGGTCGGTGTATCGCGCGAAGCTCCCCGACGGGCGCGAGGTCGCCATCAAGCGCGCGGAGCGTCCGCGCGCGGCGTCGGGCGGCGGGCGTCGCCGGCGCCGCCGGTACGACGCGGAGCGCGCGTTCCGGGCGGAGCTCCGGCTGCTGTCCCGCGTGAACCACCGCAACCTGGTGCAGCTGCTGGGCTTCTGCGAGGAGCGCGGCGAGCGCATCCTGGTGTTCGAGTTCATGCCGCACGGCGCGCTGCACGACCACCTCCACGGCCGCGTCGACGGCCACTCCCCGCTGTTCGCGTCGTGGGAGGCGCGGCTCCGGGTGGCGCTCGACGCGGCGCGCGGCGTCGAGTACCTGCATTGCTACGCCGTGCCGCCGATCATCCACCGCGACATCAAGCCGTCCAACATCCTCCTCGACGGCGAGTGGACCGCCAAGGTGTCGGACTTCGGGCTGTCGCTGGCATCATCATCGTCGTCGTCGGCGACCGCGACACCACCGGCGGCGTGCTCGACGTCGTCGACGGCGGGGACGGTGGGGTACATCGACCCGGAGTACTACCGGCTGCAGGAGCTGACGCAGCGGAGCGACGTGTACAGCTTCGGCGTGGTGCTCCTCGAGCTGGTGACCGGGAGGAAGGCGATCCACCGGCAGGAGGGCGGGAGCGGGTCGCCGCGGAACGTGATCGAGTTCGCCGTGCCGGCGGTGGAGGCGGGCGGCGTCGGGAGGATCATGGACGGGCGCGTGCCGGCGCCGCGCGGGAACGAGGCGGAGGCGGTGTCGCGCGTGGCGAGGATCGCGAGCGAGTGCGTGCGGCCGCGGGGGCGCGCGCGGCCGGTGATGTCGGAGGTGGTCGCCGAGCTGGAGTGGGCGGTCACGCTCTGCGAGGAGTCCGTAGACCGGAGCTCCGCCGCCGCCCAGCAGCAGAACAGCTCGCGGCACGGCGGCTCCGACGTGTCGCGGTCGGAGTCCGACGACCCCAGCCCCTTCCACACGAGGGAGTTCGCCGGCGTCGGACATGGCAGGTCAAACTCAGCAATGTAAAAAAAAAAAACAAACGAGTTTTATTTTTTTATCCTTTTTTTATTTATTTTCTTTGTTTTGTTTTAATTAGTTTCCACGGTTGCTGGAATAGGATGAATTAGTTGCTGTGCATAAACATTTTTCAAAGAGGAAAAAAAAGATACTGAGAGGGAGTATTCATTTTGATGTTGATTGTTACTTGAATTAGTCTAGGAGAGTTTTTGATTGCTTTTGCTCTGTGAACAAAATTCATAAGAGTTTGACAAAATCTAACATGTACGTTGTATATCAAGATTTATTGACACAACATAATAATATAATAATAATACTAGTTGGAGTAGTGGGTGGTTTGTAAGTACAATCTTGTTTTTTCTTCTGTTTTGATTTGTTAGCTTAGAAATTTTCGGAGGGTTGGTAGGTTAGATTAGACAAAATTATTAATTTGTGGCCTTGTGAGAGTGTGGAGATGCAACAACTGTACTTCTTCCAACAAACTGCTTTTATTATATAATGTAATACTTGGAGTGCAATCATGGGTCACCACAATGATTTGATTGTTTTCTTTTGTCTTGCATTACAGTTTATATATATTTATGATTTATCTAGCTCCCATGTTGTTCTTTCTCAATTTCTGCAAGAAGCCTATGATTCTTAAGTGCTTTCTTCATTGAAAAAGTTCTTGATTAATTAATGTCCCGATGAAGATGGACAACCTACAAATGGTAACATCTTTCAATATTCTTTTAGTTTCATTAATATTTAGTAAGAACCTTCTTTAATCACCCAAAATAGCAATACATGTCTCATCTAAATTTATTTTCTCTACTTTAAATGCGGAACACAGTAGATACCTATATAACTTATCAGTTTAAGGACAATTATCTTTTTTTTCTCCAAAACCAGATGAGATCAATTTATTATTGGCAAGCAGTTGTACTGTCAATATATAAGCATTTGATGAGGCTCCAACTGCTTACCAAACCAAGGGGAGAGAACTCATCAAACAAAACCATATTTTACCAAACCCCTTAAAATCAGTTTGTTGAAATGCCTATGTGAGAAATGGTCTCCCCCTGTAGACATATAGAACAAACAACTCTAATATTTTTCTCCGAATAAACCGAATGCCGTCAAACACACGTTTGCGAAGCAGTCTCCCCCAATTTAAGTATTGTGGTAAAACATAATATTATGAAAAAAAATCAATCGAACTAGTAAGGCATCCTTTTTCATGCATGATTATGATAATGGTCTATCCCTGTATACATCGTAAGTCATACAATTTCAGTATTATTTTAAAGAAAAACCAAATGCCGTCGAACACCCGTTTACGAAGCAGTCTTCCTCGATCGATTTATATATACTCGGTAAAAGAACAACATTATGGCTTCTTTTAGTGCATCTGGCAAAAAATATCTTATTATCATGCATGCTATATTTTTCTCCTTTTTAAAAAAAATAAAAGGAGAAGACAATTGCAGGATTTGATACTGGATGGATTCATGGTGTAGGATACCTGTATACACACAAGAGCTTAAATACCAACATTTCAATAACCATTCAAAAAATAGCTTAATTTAGTAATTTCTTAATTAATTACCATCCAAAAAGAGTTTAATTACCACAATGAAAAAATTAGTTCAGTACTCAATTTCTAAAACTGAAAAATGAGCTAGCTATGTGAGAATTAATTAGCCCCATCCATTTGGCAATTAGCTGGGGGACCTGACCTGTGTGTGGTTACAGTATGAATAGGGGTTGGGCAACAAGGGCAGGTGCTGGATTCCATCCATACTCTGACCAATTCCACCAAACAATTTTGTGAAGGGAAAGCATGGGAATCGAAGAGAACAAAAGGGATCAATATATAGAATACAAAATGTTGTCAGGGTCAACTCGATTTGCTCCAGAGAATTTGTGGGCTACCTTGTTGCTGATGAGGATTCTCATCATCGATCATCTTTTGTATTCTCATTCAATTCTTGAGCAAGTCAACTCCACACCAACACAGCTCAAGCAATACATACAACAAGTGCCAAAAACGCTAGCTGTACTACACCTAGATCAAATCGATTCTGAAGAATCAAAGAATATAATTGAACGACTCTTTCCAGGCTTCCAGCTGCTGATTGGTTTCAGTTTCAGTCCACGCGGTTATGTATGTATTTTAGTACTATAGTAGTATATTACCTGCAATCCGTCTGGGGTCTGGACACAGCCGTGCTAGCTATTGCTAATACGTACTACTAGCAGATGACTTGTACTATGCCCACAAATTATGACCAGATCACCATGCAATTTAATTTACTCGACAATTTATACTCCTCCGTACTCGTAAAGAAAATCATTTAGGACAATGTTTAAATCAAACATTGAGAATATAAATCATGAATAACTCTCAAGTTGTTGAGTTTGAAAATGTAAAAATTATATGAATAGATTTGTCTTAAAAAATACGTTCATAAAAGTATACATATATCACTTTTCAATAAATATTTTTATAGAAACAAGAAATCAAAGTTGTGTTTTGGAGATCGTGTCGCTGTCCCAAACGAGTTCCTTTATGAGTACGGAGGGAGTACATCACTGCTCTAGTGTACATGTTTAATTCATCGTTAGTTACTACTTACTCCGTCTAAGGTATAAGGTGTATTTTGTTTCCGTTAAGACAAGACTTTGATCAGTAATTATTCTATTATCATATAATTTTTGTGACATAAAATTAATGCCATGAGAGATTTGTATTGAAAAGTTCTTACCCCTTCGGGAGCACATACGAAGAACAAACGAAGAAGATGATTTATGAGATGGTTATTAGCTAGCTAGGCAAGAGGTTAAACTAATAAGTGTAGTGGGGAATTGATGTTGATGTCTTGTGCTGATTAATTAGTTCATGCCGAAAGTAGCTAGAGAAGAAGAATATCCATCGTTGCGTACATATATATATGTATGTGTTCTTGCAGATTAAGCAACTTACAAAGGTTGTTTGAAGATTCCTAGCTAATACCGAGTTAATACCGTTGAGACTACAATAGAACCTTCTGATCATTAGTAGCAAAAAGCATATGGGGGCCCTCGATTGATCCGTCTTTTAATTAATTTCTCTTCCTTTTCTCCATCTTGTTTCACACATTAAGAATAAATAAAGTACACACTCCTAGTAGTACAATCTTAACTTTTGTTTCACACGTAAATGAAGTACTATCTCCTCTATATAAACTCTACTGTTGGCCTGGACGTCGTCAGTTTCACATTTGAATTAATTAGTGGATACATACGGCAGATTTTTTTTTTTTACCTGCATACATATGCATGCGTGTAGATAGGCATTTTTCTGTTCAGACTTGAGGTTCAGTAGTTGCTGCTGCCAAGTTCATACAGATTTTTCTGAAAGGGAAAGTTTATAGTTCATACTGTTAGACGACGACATATATTTATGATCAGCTATTGTCTAAAAATTTATAATTATCACTTTATCAGCTCTACCCTTCTCTTTATTTATTTTCAGTAACCAGCCTTATCTAGGTATATTAACATGGTTTAATTTCTTTTTGAAGTTGGTAATTAATATGATCAACTTCCACTGTTGCTACATAAGTATGAGGAAATTAATAAATTGAATGCTAGCTTCTCTCTGCCATTGATAAATACAGAACTAGGATTCTTAAAAATAATCTTTAAAAATAGTTGTAAAATGTGGCTTTAAAAAAGAACTCAATTATTATCTGTAAAACACTCAATTACTAAAACCATATTAAAACTGAAAAGTACATATTAGTTACAAAAGAAACTTATTTCCCTGTTCAACCTTATTTATATATAATATATATGGTGTGTGTCCTCATCCATTGAATATATAGTCGCAGTTTTAGAAATATTATACAATATAATTTATTGTGTCACTTGTGCCTTCATATACTACTTGCAAAGGTCAAATTGCATCTACATATGGGAGAAGGAAAAAAATCTAAGTACGAATGTTTACCACATATATACTTTTCACAATCTGATTCAATATTTTCATTTGTTTGTGTACGTGTAGATCAAAATTTTGTCTTGAATTCTTGCGAACTTTTTGAGGCATACATATATAGTAAATTCATCTTATTTTATTATTTTTCTTGAAAAATCGTCTAACTATTTAAACAAATTAATTAACATGCACGAGGGAAGCATCTGTATTGCTTAAACATAAGTGGGTGTACGTTTGCCGTGTAATTAAAGAAAAAAGAGAGAGAAGAAACTAACGAGTGTTCCAAAAAGAGAAACGTTCAGGGGTCTTTTGGCTAACTCCTCTACAAGATGGTGGGCTAGATGACCTGGGTTCGAAACCTCATCATTTCTAATTATTTGATATTAGATTCTTCCCTAGTAATCATCGTAATCTCTTGTAATTTTGCCAGTGCTCATATGTTGTGCCGTACGTGTGCATGACGATTGAGAGAGATCGATCACTACTGCACGCATGCATGAAGAGATCAGCTGATGAACTCGTGATGCACGCAAGCATAGTAGTTACACTGGTGAACAAAGTTATTAGAGATCCTAACTAATCAGCTGTGGTATCAACTTAATGTATATAAATATGTCATCGACGACGATGAGCTAGCTAGTCAGCATGCACATATATATGGTCGGTCGTAATTTAGATAGCTAAGCTAGCTAGCTACTGACCTGATCTTTTTTTTACACCCCATGAAGAAAATGAGTAGATAAAAAAAGATGATAAATAAAAGATCGATGTTGATGCATAATAATTAATTAATTACTGAATAATGACAATGTACATGCATATGTAGCTAGCTAGATGGATGGATACATGTAGTCTTGTAGGTGAAGCAACCGATGGATGGATGGAAGAAAGACGAGCAAAATTCTTCGACGAAGAGACGAAGAACAAGGTGTATAAAAAAACACAACATATATGCATGTTGTAATCAGTCGTCGTAGCTTGGATTTGTATCTATCTATTCGTCGGTAGGTAGACAGTCGATCGATAACCCCAAATATTGACAGTACCGTACGCCCATGTCCATCGACCACAAATACAGGAATAGCTAGGAAATAAAGAACAATATAATTAACCTACACTGATACGGAAGATATATATATCAGTGCAGTTATTCGGTAACCCATTTGCATTTGTGTTTTTCGAATCATATAATCCCTCCGTATTTTAATGTATGACGCCGTTGACTTTTTGATAAACGTTTGACCTTTCGTCTTATTTAAAAAATTTATGTAATTATCATTTATTTTATTGTGACTTGATTTATCATCAAATGTTCTTTAAGCATGACATAAGTATTTTTATATTTACATAAAAAATTTGAATAAGACGAATGGTCAAACGTTGATTAAAAAGTCAACGGCGTCATACATTAAAATACGGAGGGAGTATAAAATAAGGCACCATATGTAGAAATTAAGAATTTGCACAGGCAAATTATTTCACAACTAGCTACTTTATAAAAATTAATTTTCACTTACGACTCTTAAGGAAATGTATACCCGTGGAAAATTAATTTTCAGCTTTCTAATTCTTTTAGTTGTATGAAGATTTAAAAATATTTTATAATTTAGTACGAAAACCGCCTATGACATGCATGCATGTATAATTGTCAGTGTGTACATCTATTATATACTAAAATTCCATTAAACTTCCTACAAACACTCCTAAACCGCCATGTGGCTTCTACAAACGTTCCTATACCGCCATGTGGCGCTCTAACAAATTATAGAAATTCTAAGGAAAAAATAAAAATCCGACTATCGATTTTCACTTAATACGGTGGACCCACCGTTTCACACCATTAGATATCTATCTTGTAACAAGGAAAAAAAATCACAAAACCCATCCGTATCCCCTCCATCATGTACATACCGTACGTACGTTCCCCACCTTCTCTCTCTTTCTTTCCATTTATTTATAGGTAGCAAATTTTAT